TAATAGCTCCTGGGAAAGGTATCTGGTAGGCATAGGCATTCGAGATATTTGGTTTCACTTACACAATGAACAGACAATGCATCACATTACAGATAAATGATATTAAGGTGTAGAACATCTAAAGCTGAGAACATTTTTTTAAAACCAGTCAGACAAACAGCACTGGAGGCATTCTATCAAATCACAGGCCGAATCAGAACTGCAGGTAATGCTCGCTGGGAAAATTTCAGTTGCTGTGTCCATATCACGGTCACTCTGGATCAGAAATGGCAAAACATTTCGTCCTTAGGGGCCTAAGTGTTATGTTGTGGTGGGATGTGGGCCAAAAGGACAAACCTGTTCTAAATAAAGAAGGTTTAACTGAACATTGTTTGATTAAAAATAATTACATTTCAGGTTAGACTGACATGCCTGAAATGACTTCACTGTAAAAAGTTTGTGAACCAACAGTGAGTGCACCTGTGAAGCAATTTCCATTTCATTGTTTAAGCCCAGTTACACCCTTTGAACAAAATATTTATGGATTCTTGTGTTTTATTCCCCATCACGGCTCCACGTGGTGAGGAACTGTCAGAAAACCATATAGTAAAACTTCACAAGGATGGAAAAGGGTACAAGGGCTTTATCTTTATCTTCAGAAACTTATTCTCAGTGAGCACTCAGACAGTGCACTGGATATTGCATGAAGCCAACCTCTAGAACAAAATCGTCACTAACAACAGCTTTGCAAAAGAAGCCTGATATTCTCTCGTTAGATGAAACTATAATTAGCTTCTTTGGATCAGATGGGGTTCAGCATGTTTGCTGTAAACTTGGCCAAGCCTATCACAATGACTGCACAGTGCCAACTGTGAAGCATGATGGAGGTAGTGTGGTGATATGGTGCTGCATGAGTTCAGCAGGTGTAGGAGGGTGACCTATACAGATTCACCACAATACTGAAGGAAAAGATTATTCTGCTCTCGAGACACTTGGCAGGAAAGTAATTTTTAAACATGACAATGATCCTAAACACACTGCGAAAAGCACGCAAGGTAAAGTGAAAACCATCACCTGGCCACCTGACCTGAATTCTACAGAACTATTAGTTACCTACTACCTACTAATACCCCAATCCCATGACAGACCCTGGCTTTTGAACTTTATGCTGGTAACAATCTGGATAGTCCTTTTCTTTCTTGGCCCAGAGAAGACAATATCCATTACTTCCGTAAACGATCTGAAAGGTTAACTCATCAGACCACAGTACTGCAATTCTATCGAACATCTTTGGAGAATCTTAACATGGAAAGTAGAGCAAACGAGAACTTAAAAGAATCTTTATGAAGAATGGCTGACTATCTCTCCACGAGCTTGCGATACGTTGGTTTCATGTATTCAAAGAAGGTTTGAACAACAAAGGTGGACATAAAAAATATTAGAAAACAAATGAAATCCCAGTAGTGAAGCATGTACTGACTTTTGTTGCAGTTCCTTTTAATGAATTCATTCATTACAGTTTAATTCGTCAAACAGTTCTGTGTTTTTGTATTAATTTGTTTTCATCATTTATCTTCTTTAAACAAAAACAGATGAAGTTGTATTGAACGGAAACAGTTCAAAAATTCACATTTACTAATACTGAAAATGAGTATACCCACTTTGGTTGCATGCTATACACGGTTTAACTAGATTGAATGTTGGGTCTATATCACATCTATTGTTACATTGAGAACGATAGGTGTATTTCTGTAGTATGGACTTTCATTCTTGGCAGTTCTTCTGTTTTCCTAACAATCACTGAAACTTGAGCAGAAACAGATATCTGTGCTGCCACTTCATGCACATCAGCCACCGCAGAGAAACTATCCTTGATGAAGTCTCCTGTAGAACATGGCTGCGATCAAATAACTAGGTCATGTTGCAAAACAACACCTTATCCTAAGAGCAGGTAAACATTCACATATATCAGTCCTCCTCCGGTGACGACCAGAGGAGGATGGGTTCTTCTTTTGAGTCTTAGTTCCTCTTAAGGTTTCTTCCTGTTGCTCTTAGGGAGACTTTCCTTGCCACTGTTACCATTGGCGATGCTCATGGGGGGCCTGGACCTGGATTTTTCTGTAAAGCTGTTTGGTGACAATGACTACTGTAAAAAGTGCTATATAAATAAACTTTAAATTGACTGGACTATCGCATCACATCACAAAGCCTTCAGGATCTCTACACAGGAAAGGTGAAGTCTGCAGGTCAAGTTAAAACGTAAACAAACTAGGTCTATTAGCTAATAGCTGGAGACTTCTTATTGGAAACTGGGGGCATCTTATCGACATCCCACACCATGACAGATGCTGACTTTTGAACTTTACACTGGTAACAATCTGGATGGTCCTTTACATCATATGTGTCAGGCTCCAGTCCTTGCGGGCCAAAACACTGCAGACTTCAGTATCATTAAACACACCTAATTTAGCTCATCAGCTAATTAGCAAGGACTTTGTCAATTGAATTCAGAGTGTTAGATGAGGGTAAATGCTAATCTCTGCAGCACTTTGGCCCAAGGTCCCAAATTTGACTGTTTTACATCATCCAACATGCATTATTTCCATAAACAATCTGTAAGGTTGACTCCAGATATGCTGGACATTTTTATTCTGTTTTTATTTTTAAATATTCAGTTAGGGGGTGCTGACATTTTAAGCAGCGTGTATGTCCAATGACATCATGCAAAATGATCTGTCAAACAGAACATGTCATATAGTGCAATAATGAGGCGGAAGATGTCGATGGCACACCAAACCACTGCTGCACATCATCACTCTGCTCTCAAAACAATATTAGGCCACTAGCTAAGATTCTCTTTGCACCTCAACCAGTGTGTTTGAGCCCCCAAAGCACCCAGTTCTTGGCTCACTGTAATGAAAACACAGCAGACACTTATTACAGTGATACTGCAGATTTTGAAAATATAAAAATGCACACTCCACTCAAGCAAAAATGGGTCTTTACTACGCTCAAATTAATTAAAAGTTCAGGACGTGTTATTAATATTATTTTTAACAGTTGCCATCCTGAATTTAAGGTGTGCTCAGCACCCCCACTTCCTGTGTCCCTGGTTGAATCATCAGACCACGTTTCCACTGTGCACCAGTCCATTTTAGATGAGCTTGAGCCCAGAGAAGTCAGCAGTGTTTCTGGATGTGGTGACATATGGCTTCCACTGTGCCTAACACAGTCTTACATTTTTGATTGCAGTGACGAGCGGCGTTTGACAACAGTTAGTCATCTGATCGATGGTCACAAGCGTTCAGGTGTGGGTTTCAACCTTGCCTTTCATGCATAGAGATGTTTTCTGAATACCTGAATCTTTTGAAGATATTCTGCACAGAGAATGAAACACCTAAAATGCTTGCAATTTGTTGATGAGGAACATTACACCTCATTCACCAACCATTCTTTCTTTTTCCAAAAAAATCCTTTTTTTTTCCTTGGATGTTCAAGCATGATTGCGTAAACTGTCTAAGGTATTTTTGAACATTTCTTTGTCTTTGTACTGTTTTTGTTTCCTGTACAAGTCAAAGCGGATTCAAAATGGCTTCTTTCTGTTTTTTTATTTGCTTTTCAAATACAGGCCCAACGTCTTTGGAAGTTTCTGGAGAAAGAATAATAAATTAATAAATAAAAAGTCATTAAAAAAAACAACATGTTTGTTCTCACATTGGGTGGGAGGGTGGTGCGCACTAAGGGAATATTTTGGTGGGCCACATCCTTGCAGGCTAACTCTGGGAACTCCGACCTGTCTGGCATTTCAAATATTTACTCTGTATGCATTTAAAAAATGCAGTTTAAATGTCTGCAAAGTGTTGGTGAAAAGCTTAAGTGCTCAGGCTGTGTATTCTGTTCTTGCAGGTATCTTGTACAAGTTCCTTCTTGGAGGCAACAGCATTGCATAAGTCAACACATTTAGTTGTACTAGTAAACACAGTCTGTAAACATTAGCCTGTTTAACAAAAGTTTCATGGTGGACAGATAAGCTGCTCCAGCTGGTTCTGACTCACATTACTAAATATCATAAATGACACCACAATTTCTTCACAATCGATTATAAAGACCACCCTTCATTAATTTAATTTCCAGTCAAAATGGCAGAAAAGTATGTTAGTTATTGATTTTCAGGAGATATTTCTGAGGAGATTAGATGTAAAACAGTCAACCTCCTTAATGAAGGGGAACATCAAAGGAAACCAAAGACTCCTGACAATCCTGAAAGACCTGGTAGACCACCACAACTGCCCCATCATAAAAACAGCACTTACAGCTTTCATCATCTTCTAAGACTGAACTTTGGATGCGTGTCTGCAGATTCTTTGAGGAACTGAAAGTGAGACTCCTGAAAAGAATGGAAGAATGAAGATAAAGAATGAAGCTAAAGAGTGACACACTGACTCACACAGCTGGTGTCATATGTAGTCATTGAGGCTTCTGTGGATTTTCCTGTTGAATGTTTTCTGCTTTTTTCCTGACATTGAAAAATGAATTTTCCAGCTGTTCTGGATGGAAATTAAATAAAAAGGTGTTCTCTGACTTTTTCCACAATAACGTACATCTACCTTGAATGCATTCAACTGGTGTCTACAATTTAGTCTCATGATACTTTTCACACTTTTATGAGTTGACAAGAAACGACTTAACGCACTATTAATTACCTCACTGAGGTGTGTTTATTGCTGGAACTCAACAAAAATGCAGACTGACCCAGGACTGGACTAAATCCCTGGTCTTACAGTAGGTAGCTACATATTAAAGAAGGACATTAAAGAAGCTGCATTACTGAAATCAGGCTAAATTAATTTTACTATAAGGTGGAGAATGTCTCCTCGCAGTGAGCGCACGTGGAATGATGTGGGTGGGTGCAGCTTGTGACTGTGATCTGATAATGAGAAAATTCCTCAGGCCTGCAGTGTCAGTGACACGCCCCCAGCCTCAGTGTATTAAAGCAGAGAACGAGTGTCATTAATAGTGATCTGCTAGACTACAGAGTGGAGAACATCTCTACACCAAGGTAAGCTCACTATCTGGAACCCACTTCATAGAGTTACACTGTTATTATCAGCAACTTAAAACCTAAATAAAATCTCCAAACCTGAATTTAATCATACAGATGTCAAACTGACTTTTTCTGTCCAGCTACTCATTTTTAATTTTGTCTTTTTTTTTCGAATAAAATTCCAGCTAATCATGTTTTTTAATTCTGACTTATTCCTTCAGATAAAAGTCCAGCTCGCCATGTTTTGATTATTGTCTCATTTGTTTTCAGACAAAAGCCCAACTAGTTATTTTTTTAATTTTGTTTCATTTTTATGTATAGTTAAAACTTTTGCCTTTTTTCAGATAAAAATCCAGAAATAATTTTCTGTTTTTTATAAAAAACAGCTAGTTATAGTTTAAAATTGTATCTTATTCTTACAAGTAAAAGCTCAGCTAGTCATTTTTAATTTTGTGAGTATTTTTGATAAAAGTTGTGCTAGTTATAATTTAACATTTTATCTTATTTTTATATATAAAAGCTCATATTTGAATTTTGTCTCATTTTTTACTGATAAAAGCCCAGCGTCATATTTTTAACTTTTTAAAATTATTTTTACAGATGAAAGTCTAGCCAGCCCTATTTTTAATTTTACAAAGTCCAACTAGTCATATTTTACATTTTTGTTATTTTTATAAATGAACCCCCAGCCAGTCATATTTTTAAGTTTTTGTATTAATTTATAGATGAACGAACAGCAAGTAATATTTTAAATTTTTCTATTAATTTTACAGATGAAAGCCCAGCTAGTCATATTTTAATATTGTGTATTAATTTTACAGATGAAGGCCCAGCTAGTCATATTTTAATATTGTGTATTAATTTTACAGATGAAAGCCCAGCTAGTCACACTTCTTGCTGCCTGTCTGCTTCCCACTGTTCTCAGTGAGGGCTCCACTGTGGGTGAGTCACGTTCAATATTTGCTATTTTCAATATTGTTTATAATAATTTGCCTCCAGTTATTTTGTTCATTATTTAAAGTTAAGATGATATTAAGTTTTCTCTTGTGTGAACTCAGCTATGATCTTTTTCAGCTTGGTGTTATCACCTGCCGTCCTGCAGTAAGTGTTTAATTTTCCATAAACAATGTTAACATGTTTTGTTCTCAGTTGTACTGACTGCACATGTGAAAGTGGTCAGTGACTGTAATCAGTGCAATCAATGTAAACTGCTCTAAGTTAGTAGCTGTGTGGGCTTAATACAAACAGGCTACTGGGTTTGTTCTCCTGTCTGATCTACTTCTTTTCACAGATGACACCACATGGCCACATACAGTAGCCCACCAATGCAACGGCACCCGTCAGTCTCCCATCAACATTGTGACTGCTGATGTCCAGGCAGATTCCAGCCTGACCGCATTCAGTTTTTCCGGGTTTAATGACAGCTCTGCACTCGTGCAAATGGAAAATGCAGATGGAAAGTCAGGTGAGGGTTTCTGCTATTGATGATCGGCCCACAGATCACTTGTGCCATTTTCATGTGGTTAAAAATTATAAAAAATATCACTGTGCCTGGTTACCTAATATAAGCTCTATTGAATCAGCTCAGACTGATGATTATGATTTTAAAAGCAGAAACAGTGCTGTGTGCAAGAGGAACCATTCAAACTCAAACCCGATGCAGCACGAATGCAGCACACTGACTAAAACTCATTATTCTATTTTAGGCTGATTCATTCAGGACATAGCGGCAGATACAGCCAATCAGAATTAAGACATGAACAGAATTATTAAACAAGAATGCAGAATTCACTGCTTTGCCAACATTTTACTCAGAGTACCACTCACATTCAGAAGGATCATAATAAGTGATCACATTCAGTGCTATCATAATAAGAGTCCCATAAAATTCTAAGTTTATAACTTTACTTGCTTTAATTGAACACCTATTTATTAAACATTACATTACATTAACACTACTACAACTAATAATAATAGTATTGACAATAATTATTATGTATTATTATTATTATAATTACTTCCACTACTAACAATAATAATTATTATTATTATTTATTTATTTAGCTAGTTATTTATTTATTATTACTACTACTACTACCACTACTACTAGTACTTGTTGTGGTTTGTGTTACTAACAAACACTGACTAAGATCAGAGCTGGTTTTAGGGGGGCCTGGCTACTTCCTGTTTCTCCCCAATCAAAAAGAGGACTGCAAAAACACCAGAGGGCGCCTGTGAGTGAGTCCTCAATGGGTGTAAACGGAGCTAAACAGCTGAAAAAAAATATTCCACTTAAAAAAAAAAGTACACTCGATAACTAGAGTATAAAAGCACTCAAAACGGCAGTGCTGAATATTTAATTTAATATTTAATTAATGCATTTTTTTCTATATAAAAATTACTACAAACTATGATTTTGCACAAAGCTCCATTCATTTCGAACTCACTCGGGAGCGCCCTCTAGTGTCTGACAAACCCAGAAGATATCATTCAGTGGCATTTCTTCTCGCTACACATTCTCTGCTAAGATGCACATAAATGAGCGTTTATGGTATGAAGTTAAAATTCATACTTGGAGAAGACCAGGTCATTTTAGTTTGAGGCCCCTGAGTTAGAGGCGACTGTCCTCTTAATGTCAGACAATAATTTCAGCTGTGTCTTTGCCTCTGCAGTGAAGGTGTCCCTGGATGACAGTAAGATGAGTGTGTCAGGAGGGGGTCTTCAAGGCCACTACAAGAGCACACAGTTCCACCTCCACTGGGGCAACGGCAGCTCTTCAGCTGGATCAGAGCACACAGTGAACGGCAAACGATATCCAATGGAGGTGAAAGAAACACTGCTGTAAAAACGCTACTGAGATTTAGAAGATCGACTAACTTCATAAACTAACTCTCTCTCTCTTTCTCTCTCTCAGCTGCACATAGTAAACATGAAGTCCACTCTTCCCAACACGACCGTCGCTCTCGAGGACCCAACAGGATTGGCTGTTCTTGGCTTCTTCATTGAAGTAAGACTTTGTTGGTTTTCTGATATTGAAAAACATTAGCTTAGCGTTAGCTCTAATATACCGAGGGAGTCCTGTGATTGGTCGTCATCACCTTATCATTTGAGACTCCCCCTGACTGTGATTGGTCCTAATCACCATGTCTTTCATTCTGAGACCTCCCTCTGACTGTGATTGGTTCTAATCACTGTGGTGTATGTTCTGAGACCTCCCCCTGACTGTGATTGGTCCTAATCACTGTGTTGTGTGTTTTGAGACCTCCCCCTGACTGTGATTGGTTCTAATCACCATGTTGTTCATTCTGAGACCTCCCCCTGACTGTGATTGGTTCTAATCACTGTGTTGTGTATTCTGAGACCTCCCCCTGACTGTGATTGGTCCTAATCACCACGTCTTTCATTCTGAGACCTCCCTCTGACTGTGATTGGTTCTAATCACCATGTTGTTCATTCTGAGACCTCCCCCTGACTGTGATTGGTCCTAATCACCATGTTGTTCATTCTGAGACCTCCCCCTGACTGTGATTGGTCCTAATCACCATGTCTTTCATTCTGAGACCTCCCTCTGACTGTGATTGGTCCTAATCACTGTGTTGTGTGTTTTGAGACCTCCCCCTGACTGTGATTGGTCCTAATCACCATGTTGTTCATTCTGAGACCTCCCCCTGACTGTGATTGGTCCTAATCACCACGTCTTTCATTCTGAGACCTCCCCTGACTGTGATGGTCTAATCACCATGTTGTTCATTCTGAGACCTCCCCCTGACTGTGATTGGTCCTAATCACCACGTCTTTCATTCTGAGACCTCCCCCTGACTGTGATTGGTCCTAATCACCACGTCTTTCATTCTGAGACCTCCCTCTGACTGTGATTGGTCCTAATCACCATGTTGTTCATTCTGAGACCTCCCCCTGACTGTGATTGGTCCTAATCACCATGTTGTTCATTCTGAGACCTCCCTCTGACTGTGATTGGTCCTAATCACCATGTTGTTCATTCTGAGACCTCCCCCTGACTGTGATTGGTCCTAATCACCATGTCTTTCATTCTGAGACCTCCCTCTGACTGTGATTGGTTCTAATCACTGTGTTGTGTGTTTTGAGACCTCCCCCTGACTGTGATTGGTTCTAATCACCATGTTGTTCATTCTGAGACCTCCCTCTGACTGTGATTGGTCCTAATCACCACGTCTTTCATTCTGAGACCTCCCTCTGACTGTGATTGGTTCTAATCACCATGTTGTTCATTCTGAGACCTCCCCCTGACTGTGATTGGTCCTAATCACCATGTTGTTCATTCTGAGACCTCCCTCTGACTGTGATTGGTCCTAATCACCATGTCTTTCATTCTGAGACCTCCCTCTGACTGTGATTGGTCCTAATCACCATGTCTTTCATTCTGAGACCTCCCTCTGACTGTGATTGGTCCTAATCATCATGTCTTTCATTCTGAGACCTCCCTCTGACTGTGATTGGTTCTAATCACTGTGGTGTGTGTTCTGAGACCTCCCTCTGACTGTGATTGGTCCTATTCACCATCTCATTCATTCTGCGACCTCTCCCTGACTGTGATTGGTCCTAATCACCATCCATTCATTCTGAGACCTCCCTCTGACTGTGACTAGTCCTAGTTACAAAAATTGTATTTTATAATAATTATAAAGTAATGCCTCAGACATCAGGCTGCATATTCATAACCATTTCATGTAATAACTTTCCATGAGTGAGCTTTTAGAGGCATTCAACTCTTTAGATGTCTATCACTACCACTGTAAAGAAATTTGAGTCTTTTTTTCTCTACAGTGAAACTTTTTACATCAAACCGCCATGATAAATTTACATCTCATCCACTGAATCACATGGAAATTAGTGCAGCTGTAAGTAGGCCAGCTACTCCAAAACCTGTTAGTGTGCCTTCATAGAGAAATAAAATAAAGTGAATGTAACAACAGTGCTGGTTTTGGCCTCTGGGCACGTGTTGCATTGTTGTTGCATTATAGAGGTTCTGTGATATGGCATGATACGTGTAATGGATACCTACATTTTTTCTTTTTGCAATTAACTGCCTGCATGAAAAATTCTAGTGAAAGATGCTGTACATTCTTATTTGATTGTTTGAATTATTAGCATAAAAATGATAAAATATCTGTGTATATATTTATTACATTTTATTGTTTATTCTTAGGCAACTAGTGACAGCGGCAAGCCGGAGAGCTGGAAGAACCTCACCTCATTCTTGTCCAGTGTTCCTAACAAAGGTACAGCTCCAGTTTTTGGTAACACTTTACTGTAGGGTACAGTTCATAAGGCTACATGACACCTACATAAGCTCGTCATGACAACTAACATAGACCTACATAAATGTTTATTAATGCTTATTCGATTAGGCATCATCTGTCATAAAGGCTACTTTACTTTCTAGCATTAATAAACATTTGTCTAGGGTTATATCAGTTGTCATGACAAGCTTTTCTAGGTGTCATGTAGCTTTATGAACTGTACCAGTTTTTTTGTTAAGTAGAATTGCATATGCACTGATACATTTGCCAAGCAGGTGTGTACCCAGCAAAATTAAATATAGTAAAAAATAAATAAATAAATAAATAAAATAAAATATTAAAAAGTGGCCAGTTTTGCTTCAGCAGGAGAAACATGGTGGTGGTAGTAGACAGCTGGGTAAAGTTCCAGAAATCTTGCTGCATTCCTGTTTTGTGGTCACTAGTCTGACCCCAGGGAGGTTCAAATTCATGTCTAGATAAAAACCAGTTAATTGGGTCCAAAATGCGACCAAAACCAAAGTGATTCATTAACGCTGCAGGCCTCGGAGGATGATTTGATTTGGCCTAACCAAAAAGTTTGTGCACGCCTAATTTAGATGACTTTCTGAGTGGCCGTTCAGCATAACGGTGACTGTACTGTACTCTTCCCTTTACATAAACTGCATCAAACAGTAATCTCACTACTCACTACTTCTGAAGCCCTATTGGAGCTGGATTAGTTTCACCAGAGGAGGTCTGGTAATGTGATTTGATTCAAACAGGATAAATTATCTCTGTAATTTCCCCTAATTACCTCAAAACAGCCTGGATTGCGGGGATGTTTACATTAGTATTATGCAACAAGCACCACACTTCCAAACAATAACAACATGTTGTACAGCTAAACAGCAAATAGACTAGCATTAGGCCAGTACAGTTGGTTCAACTTACCAAATGCTGCCCAACAGGACTCTCGTCATGAACTTGAGGATTAAGGAACTGGGTCAAATTGAACCCCGCTTTAGTGGTTAGCCTTGTATTCAGGTCACAAAAAAGAAAATAAAGGGAGGAGTGTTTCTACAAAGCTGAAGTTGGCTTCTTATTCGCCAGCTTCTTGTTTGAATTTTTCCGTTTAACCTTACATTTAAAGTGGTCACTCAAATTACAGCACATCCTCATGTAACACTAATCCAGCTTCAATAGGGCTTAAGTTACTCTCCAAATTGCAATTAAGAACTACACTATAGGGATAAAAGTATTGGGACGCACCTCTTAATCACTGAATTCAGGTGTTTCATTCAGTCTGATTGCTACAGGGGTATAAAATCAAGCACCTAGCCATGCAGCCTGACTTTACACACATCAGTGAAAGAATGGGTCGTTCTGAAGAGCTCACTGAATTCGAGCGTGGTGCTGTAATAGGATTTCCTCCCTACGCTCATCTGTGAGTGGTATTACTGAAAAGTGGAAGCATTTAGGAATCACAGCAACTCAGCCACGAAGTGTCAGACCACGTAAAGTTCTTCCACACCAAACTCACCCAGAGCGGGTCGCCGAGTGCTGAAGAGCATAGAGCATAAACGTCACCAACGCGCTGCTGATCAATAACTGCAGAGTTCAAACCTCCTCTGGCCTCAACATCAGCACAAAAACTGCGCCAGGAGCTTCATGGCAGGGTTTCCATAGCCGAGCAGCTGCACACAAGCCTTACATCACCAAGCACAATGCAGTGTGTCAGATGGAGTGGTGTAAAGCACCGCCACTGGACTCTGGAGCAGTGGAAATGTATTTTGTGGAGTGACCAATCACTCATCTGATGGACGAGTCTGGGTTTGGTGAATGCCAGGAGAATGTTACCTGCCTGACTGCACTGTGCCAGCTGTAAAGTTTGGTAGAGGAGGGATAATGATCTGGGGTTGGAAGACCCTCTTCTGTTCCAGCATGACTGAGCCCCAGTGCACAAAGCAGCTCCATAAAGGCCTGACTGGGTGAGTTTGATGTTGAAGAACTTGACTGACCCTCAGAGCCCTGACCTCAACCCCATCAGACACCTTTGGGATGAACTAGAACGGAGATTGTGAGCCAGACCCTCGTCCAACATCAGTGTCTGACCTCACAAATGCTCTTCTGGATGAATGGACAAAAATTCCCACAGACTCTCCAACATCTTGTAGAAGCTTCCCAGAAGAGCGGAAGCTGTTAGAGCTGCAAAGGGGGACCAACTCCATTAATTAATTAATCTAATTAGTCAATTTTCTCGTTGTCTTCAGGGAAAAGGGCTCATCATGAATAGGTTCTTCAGCTTGATGGAAAACACGCATAAATGTGCTACAGACGGTTCTACATAGAACCTTTTTGAAAAGGGTTCCTTATAGCACCCAAAAAGGTTCTTCTATTGTTACAAGCTTGACACCGTAACAACAGAAGAATCCTTTTGGGTGCTTTCAGCACATTCCCCATCAATCTGAAGAACGCTTTCATAATGCAAAGTACCATTTAATCATGCAAAGGGTTCTTTGTGTGTTCATGGTTCTAAATAGAACCATTTTCTTTACTAAAGAACCCTTGAAGCACCACCTTTTTTGTACCACTTTAGTCACAACAAAACAAGGAGACATTTGCTGATCAACACCTCTTGTTTTCTTTCCAGGTGACGTGGTGGACATTATGGACCAGATCTCGATGGACAGTCTGCTAGAAGGAGTGGACAGGACTAAATATTATCGCTACCTCGGCTCGCTGACCACGCCGTCCTGCGACGAAGCCGTGGTGTGGACTGTGTTCAAAGACCCCATCAAAGTCAGCCAAGATCTGGTAGGTCTGTCTGGACGACCTACAGACGAGAAACAATCAGAGATCAGAGCTTTAAAGCGATAGTTTAGCAATAAATACAGTTTTTGTTTGATATCTTTAGTTTTGCACTGGAGCTACGAGGCTAATGTAGCTACAAGTAATGGAAGCAAACATACCACCAACATGATGCTTGCCTCAAAATATGTCAAGTTTCATTGATTTTTTCAAAAATACTGCATAATTCAGTGTTTGAGGTGTAAACAGAGTGATTCAGAGAGGTTTGGTGTGAAATGGTTCAGATGTCTTTACAGTGGTGGTGATAGGAACCAGGGGTCGCCATGACTACAACACAAATATAGACATTTTATTTACTATCCAGAACCACCAGTGAATCTACAGGAGTCTTCTGAGTTTTATATGGATTGTTGATGTTATATAATGAAAAAGTAAGTTTTCTGTGGGAACTATTTTGCCTCAGAACACCCTGCATGTATCCCTCCCCCATGAATGAATTAAAAAAAAAAAATTAGGCCAAAACCTTCTCAAACGTCTCATAAAACCATTTATAACCATTTCATGTAGTAACTTTGTGAGGGAGCTTTTAGAGGTGGACGTCGGGTTCCTATCACCACCACTGTGAACAGTTCTGACTCAGTACGTTTCTCTAGAACAGAGCGTTTCACACCAAACCACTCTGAATGAGTCTGTTTACAGCTTAACCATTTAATTATGCAGAAATTTAGAAAAATCAGTGGAATCTCTGTTAAGTAATCTCCGATAGACATACTATCTATATATATATATATATATATATATATATATATATATATATATATATATATGTACGTTGCATAGCTATAAACAGCAGTAAGAGCCCTCTCAAAGCCTGATTTTTGTCTTAATTTTTTTTTTCATTTTCACGAAAACTTGCATTTTATGCTAATTGGTAGTGTATAAGCGTCCATGACTTGTTAGCCAAATTACCCTCATAGGTTCAGTGCTAAAACCAAAGAAGCAAACTTCAGGGGGGAAGGGGTCCAAAATGTTCTTCTGCACGTTGCATGCAATTACACATTTTCACCAGAGAGGTCTCCAAATCCCCAAAACTTACATAGTGTAGCTTTAAGTGTAACGAACATGCACTGATTTATTCTCTTTGTCATTAGATCAACCTCTTCAGCACCACCATGTACATCAACACAACAGCCCAGTCTCTGATCACCAGCAACTTCAGAGGAGCTCAGGAACTTAACGGCAGAGTCGTAACATCGCAGCCTTCATCAGCAACCACACCTTACCAGGCCCTGTCCCTGACCGCTGCTCTGCTGTACCACATACTGTACTGGTTATAGTTAAAACACAATGGCAGGACAGAATCGCACATCTTTTCACTGAATAGCTCAGTCATGTTCATACTATTTTTTTTTTTTTGAAGAGATAATAAAGATATAAGAGACTTTTATAAAATAAAACATCACACATTTGTTTTATTTGTATGTAAGGATGTGTATTTATTACATTTACCGTAACTTGAGTAAAGCCAATTTATTATAAATGGTGTTTTGCTGCACAGTTTGTCTCGGTCATCCTGTAGTCCTTCATCAGGGGTCACAGGACGCTGCCCACAGGACGCTGTTGGTTGGATGTTTTTGGTTCTCAGTCCAGCAGTGACACTGAGGTGTTTAAAAACTCCAGCAGCACTGCTGTGTCTGATCCACTCAGACCAGCGCAACACACACTAACACATCACCACCACGTCAGTGTTACTGCAGTGCTGAGAATGACCCACCACCCAAATAGTACCTGCTCTGTGGGGGTCCTGACCACTGAAGAACAGGGTGACAAAGTACGCAGAGAAACAGATGGACTACAGTCTGTAACTGTAGAACTACAAAGTGAACCCATGTGGTCAGTGGAGCTGATAAAGTGGACAGTGAGTGTAGAAACGAGGAGGTGGTGTTAATGAAGCGGCTGATCAGTGTAAATGCTGAAGCTGTCAACACTCACTGCATGAATTCTCTCTCCTAACTTGCCACATAACAGGGGAATGTGGATCACCTGCATCCCTGTACCTGCCTTGTGTTTAATTACATTCCACACAGCAAAACGTACAGTAGTAAAGCCCTCATCAGGGCGGCTGTGCCTGACCACCGCTTTCAGGGTGACCTCAGAGCAGCGTTGTTATGATGGCATGCTTTTTCATTACGATGGAATTCCTAATGTCTCTCTTGTCAACATTAACTCAAAACATCCATGTGGTCAGTTTTCCATGGTGGTGTACATGTGGTTTACGGGCAACAACAGTGGACAGCCCAGGACATCAGCTGCAGCATACTGAGTTGTGGGGGAGGAGGATAAACATTTGGCAAACGGGAGGGAGAAACACATTTTTGCTGGGTGATCTATTGTCACTGACCCCAAAGTGTTTAAAAACCTTCAGTTAGAGCACCACAGACCATCCAGGTGGTCAGGGGTTCCTGTAAACTCTACTGGAACATAGTGAGACTCACGATGGCAAGTTTAACTGCTGCTTCTAGCGGCACTGACAAATCCTGAAACTGAGACTGGACTTCATAAAGGCACAAGCAGCTGTGTGGCACTGACAGGTGACCGTGTAAGGAATCCTGCCTATGTGAGACAGTTATGACCAGCACATTACAGCAAAGGGTTTATTAAAAAGCCACAAACTGATTCAGATCCACTTAATCATCATGCATTGTAAGAACAGGCGACTTTAAGAATGGGTATGTTTAAAATTTCTGCATGATTGTGTTTGAGATGTAAACAGAGTGGTTTGGTGTGAAATGGTTCAGATGTCTTTACAGTGGTGGTGATAGGAACCAGGGGTCGCCATGACTACAACACAAATATAGACATTTTATTTACTATCCAATATGCTTTGGACTTGGGGTATAAGCTTCCATGACATGTTAGCAATATTAGCCTTACAGCTTCAGTGCTAAAAACCAAAGAAGCAAACCTTAGGGGGAAAAGGGGTCTGAAACACAACCCACCTTACAAGATGTTCCTCTCTGCACAATGCATGCAATTGCACATTTTGGCCAGAGAGGTCTCCAAATCCCCAAAACATACATAGTGTAGCTTTATGTATGATGAACATGCACTGATTTATTCTCTCTGTCACCAGATCAACCTCTTCAGCACCACCATATACATCAACACAACAGTCCAGCCTCTGATCACCATGTGATCAGGACATATCATGTATTGTGAAAATGTGAGATTACATTTGTACCATATTTTAATCAATGTTTTTTAGCAGTATAATGTTATAATAAATGTAAAATAATAACAATAATAACAATAATAATAATTAATTATTATTATTAGTAGGAGTTATATTGTTATACAAACCCTGCTCCAGGTTTTCTGCCGTCAACCCCGACTCTCGACTCCTGCTGCTGGAACCGATGGAGTGACCTCTTCAACTCCACTTAACCTAACAGCTCCAGAGCCGCTGATAAAGGAATACAGCAGAGATTAAACCATCCTAAATGCAGTTTACCCAGTTATGGAAAACCTACAGATTACAGTGATATGATGGAAATATGTAGATTATACCAAGTAACATCAGGTATCTTGACAAATGATTATGGCTGACTAATGTTTCAATACATCTTACCATCAGATTATTTAAAGGGAGCCTGGTCTCTTCCTGTTTCCCCGTTATATCAAAAACATGACTGCAAAACACCAGAGGGCGCCTGTGAGCGAGTCCTCAATGACTGGAGCTAAAAGGCAGAAAACTAAAAGTTAAAGAGTTTCTAAAAAGAACCTTCCTTTGATTTTAGACAGTAGAAGTTTGTATTTCATTACAAAAGCAAAGAACTCCTATAACTCGAGTTCAAAAGCTCCCAAAAATACAACAGCAGTGTTAAAATGTTTTATGCTGCTCTGTGTTCAGGAAATGATTGTGTTCTTTTATATTAAAAATGTTTAAACATTTATAAACTATGATTTGGCTCAAATGCTCCATCTTAACCCATTCATTTTGGACTCACTCAGGAGCGCCCTCTAGCGCTCGAGGACAATACAGAGGGGCCATGCTCCTCTCTACAAGTTCTATGGCTGCAGCACCATTTAAGGTGGAACTGAAGTTTTGAATAAGTATCAGGCAAAAAGCCAACTTCAACAGGTTTTCCACAATGTTCTGTAAAAACCAAGGTTTGTTTTTGTTTTTGGTCCCTAGTACTGTTTCAAATCATCATTAACTACAACACTAGTGAGGAAAATGTAGTCGCAGTGTATCGAAAAGGCTTTTGTGAGTTTGTGCTCAGAGCAGCGGGTAGGCAGAGTTGTTGTTTAAACCACTGCGCATGTACCATCAGTCAGCGTTACCGTGGCAGTAGCGCCAGAGCCGGTTTATGAGGAGCCTGGCCACTTCCTATTTCCCCCATTATTTAACAAACATGACTGCAAAACCAAAGAGCACCCGCGAGCGAGTCCTCAATGAATGGGAGTGAATGGAGCTTAATGGCTAAAAACTAAAGTTAAAAAAGTTTCTAATCACTGAACCAGAACTTTCCTTTAGTTTTAGACAGTAGAAGGATGGATTTCACTAAATAAACAAAGAAATCTCACCTGTATGTTTCCTTTCTACTACAGCAAACGGGTTTTGGGCAACAGAAAGCAGGCTTTACTGCTACTGAGTGCTGATTGGTTGGTGGGCGGAGCAGCTCACTGGCTGTTCGCGCTCACTGACGTCATGGACGTACATGAGGCGCCAATTTAATCTCCTATAACTCGAGTTTAAAAGCCCTTAAAAATATAATAGTGGTGTTAAAATGTTTTATTCTGTTCTGTGCTCATTAATGTATTCTTTTACATTAAAAATGTTTCAGCATTTATAAACTGTGATTTGGCTCAAATGCTCCATCTTAACCCATTAATTTTGGACTCCCTCGGGAGCGCCCTCCAGCGTTTGAGAAACCAGAAGACATTTCAGTTCTCTGGTAGCACCAAACAGAAGTTAAAACCTGTAAACGATTGAAAAGCAGCAAATCTCACCATTTACACCTTCGTCTCGCTCTAATAATGAAGCTGAGAGCTGATCAGAGTTAATTATCTTTTCAGCGAAGCTCGTTCTGCTCGTTAGTCTGTTTGCTGTTCATGACGCACGTGATTCATTCACGTGACGTTACTGAGTAGGATGTGCGCATGCGGATCATTTCAGGACGCCGGTTCGTCACATTAATGACAGATTTGAGTCACTTACCTAAACGAGTGTGAACCATCGTGTCAGAGAGCAAAAACAGATTTGAGGCTTGTAATGTAAACATAGCCAAGATCCAAGCATTTTGACTCTCAGAGCCACTGGCCAATAGTCGACTCCGACTCCCAGCCGCGTTGGAGTTGATGAATCGACTCTTTCGGAATCGACTCGCGATCACTAGAAGAAACTGGGCTGAAGCTAATTAAAAGTGGGCGGTGCCGTTCTGGGTTTTATAAGTGGCGCAGACGCAGTGGACTTCCGGCTAAATGAATGTTGAGGTAGCAGCCCAAACAGTAGAATGGTAAGATGAGAAATGTAGCTCCTGATGTGTTTAAGCACTTTTGCTAACATAGTAGCTTATAGTGTTTAACACATTTCATCTGCTTGGGACTAAAATGCTGGTGGTGATGAGGCCGCCTGCCCACAAAGAGAACAGCTCTGTGTTTTAAGACTTTGCTCTGTCTCGGCCAGGTTCTCTCACTGGTTTTGAGCTGTCTTGCTGTTTGCCTGATTTCTACCACAGTTGATGGTGCAGATCCTTCAGTAGGTGAGGGGCTGTTCCTGTAGGCCCAAACACAACAAGACCTTGTGCCATTGGACTCCTATGGCTTATTTTCTGTGTAGCTGAAATTGGGTTTCTACTTGAATTTCCTTTTCCACCTTAAATAGTAATGCAGTTTCTGCTATTTTAAGGTGGAATTGAAAACTTGACTACCTTCAGCCTTGTTAAGTATGACTGTTTTCACATGTAATCAATCATTGTCTCTTTCCAGGTTGGTGCTATCACCTGCCATCGTGTAGTAAGTACTCTTTATTGACCTACATGAGAATGTGTGAATGGTAGCTGTTCACGTCCTTCCCATTGTGGGCTTTTTAGAGTCATGATGAAGCAGTGTCTGAGTAGAAGCTACCTTGTTTCGAGATGGCTTGTTGTTTTAGATCAGCTTCTGGGCCTGAATTTTGCAGTTGCTGCCAGGCTGGGCTTCAGCCCTGTGTGCCCAGGGCCCTTTATTTATCTGTGAAACTGTGTCCAGGGTTTTCTGTTCCTTGTTTACGTCTGGGGAAATAATGTTATGTTTCCTTGTTGACGTTCTTAGAAAAAATGCAAGTTTCTATGGCCCCAGGTTTCTGGACAAGTTGCTGGAATCATGTTTTGTCAACATAAGACTGCATCTGTATTGTACTTGCAAATGTACCTGTATCCTAGACAGCGAGAGGGAAGCAGGCGACTGTTGGCCCACTGGCTTTTTGCTGTGTCTTCGAGGTGGCACACTGGAGGCAGAGTATTGGACAATATGCAACTCTTCGTTGCTCATTTGCCACTTGCAGTCCATTTTACCAATTTTGTTCATTATCTTTGAGTTAGTTTTAGTGAACTTTAGTTAAGCAGTGTCCAACACTTTCAATAGTGTTTATTAGGCTTACCCACTATTTTTTCTCTCATTGTTTGTAATGTCTTTTTTCCAAAATAAAAGCCTATGTGCAAGTAATCTGTGATTAAAAGCCTGTAGGACAATGATCTAGGTGGATATATGCTTGCTGTCTGGGTATTTTCATAATCTGTCAGTACCTAAAATTGTTTATGCACATTCTGCTGACAAATGGATTCCTTTATTGATATAAATTGGTTGTATATTTCAGAGAATAATAATCTGTTCAGTGATGGGTGGGATTTAAATATAAATTCATGACTGTATTGGATCTTCACAGTACTGATATTATTATTGCAAGTTGGCATTTGTGCTAAAGGTCTGCATTGCAATGATTGCTTAGCCAGCTAATGAGCTCACTGAGGCTAAACCAGAGCTGGTTTAAAGTTTGGCTGGTTTCTCCCTGTTATACTGAAAACAGGACAGCAGAGGGCACCTATGAGTGAGTCCTCAATGAGTGGGCCTAAACCTATCCCATTTTTAAATAAGTTGTGGAGGACCTTTCATTTTGGAAAGTATAAGGACACAACTTCATTAAAAATGAACTTAGCAGGGCCTTCTGCTTCTTGTTTTTCATTTTTCTGTGGTGTCGGGTTTTTTTTTCTTTTCCTTTAGTAGGAAGCTATGATTACTGCTGCTTAAACTTGAGTGACTTTTTTTGCATGAACGTCAGTTACATACAGCATTTTTAGCACCAAGTGACTTTTTTCACCTTTCATTTTATAGCTTGCAATTTGTGCAGGAATTGAATGTAAACAGCCAGTAAGGTTTGTATCCTAAATAGCTGAGGGAACATGGGTGTGCACATCTGGGTATGTCCATTAGGTGGCCAAACTGTTACATCAGCAGTTCACTTAACTGCAAGTGAATACAAAATACAGAACCAGAAACTATTTGAGGTCTGGCTTCGAAGACCTTTAGATGGTCACTAAGAGGGGGAGGTCTTTCAGATCTCAAAGCAACATGTGATAATTTAACCCAACACCTTTCTGTTCCAGATGAATCTACCTGGCCCTCGATTGCCGGCGCGTACTGCAATGGAACGCGCCAGTCTCCAGTTAACATTGTGACTGCCAGCGTCAAAGCCAACGAGGACTTGACGGCATTAAAGTTTAAGGGTTTTAATGACAGCACGGCCTTGACTGAGATTAAAAACAGTGGCCGAGAAGGTGTGTACCTGCCGCGTCTTCTCAGTCCATTCACCAATAAATGGGTAACTTCTGATTTTCCTCAGTTAAGGTCATACTGAACCACGAGAAGATGGCAGTTGAAGGAGGAGCTCTTCCAGGCGTGTACAACAGCAGGCAGTTCCACCTTCACTGGGGCAGCGGCAGCTCTGTGCCTGGAGCTGAGCACACCGTAGATGGCAAACAATATGCAATGGAGGTTAGACATGCATGCATGCATACATCTTTACTTTAGATCTTTTAAGGTGTTTATCAAGCTGTCTTCCTGCTTTTTCAGTTGCACATTGTGAACGTCAAAGCAGAGTACAGTTCAACTGCAGATGCGCTGGCAGATCCGACGGGTCTGGCTGCTCTTGGTTTCCTTATTGAGGTGCTGTCAGTCTGCTTTCTGGTGATTTTGCATTTTAGTTGGAGTGCCTGCCAGATGCTCAGTGTCTTGCTCTACATGTGCAGGCAACCAATGACACTGGTAAACCCAAAAGCTGGAAGACCTTAACTTCCTACCTGGCAAATATCCCAAATGCAGGTAACCACCTGGGATTTGGTGTTGTCTGTTGGAAAATGCTCGCGAATTAAATGGGATTAGAAATCTCTGGACAGGAATTGCCCTTCAAAGTCAATACTTGACTTCTTTTTGAAGACAAGTTGGGAATTGTGAAGGGTAACACTATGTAATTACTATTTGGCCATGGAATACTGTTGGACTCACGACACTATACATTTGCACAAGTTCTCACTCTTTAGCCTCACTACAAATCTGCTCATCCCAGATGTGTATTTTAGCACCTACTGTTGCTATTAGCAAAGTTGCCTAGCAGTTTGGTAATGCTAGCTTGAACCTGCACTACATGGCCAGAAGTAGTGGACACCTCTCCTGATTACAGTTCAGTTGTTTCAGTGCACATTGCATGACTATGCTTGATGTTGATCTCCGTAGTCATTGGCTGTTGACTTTCAAGTGTGGCACCATCATAGGATGCCACTTTAGCCTCAAGTTAGTTCATAACTTTTGCTAGATCTGCTCTGGTCAACTGTAAGTGCCTTTGTGAAATGGAAGCATCTAGGAGCATCAGCAGCTTGGCTACCAAGCTGTAGACCCCACAAACTCAAACATAGCATGCTGAAGTGTGTAAATGACCTATCCCCTGTTGACTCGCTCTCGAGTTCCAGACTGCCTCTGGAAGCAATATCAAGTCCACATTAATGCCCATGGTTTTGGACTGATGTCAGGCATGTTCATGGGTGTCCACTTACTTTTGGCCATGTAGTGTATCTTTCACATAACTTGGTTCACCAGAACCACCTCTTCAATGACATGACATGCATGCTGTTGTGGTTGGCTAATGCTAGCTCGAACATGGGTTTCCCTCAGTAACTGCTTCTAGGAAGTTGGGTTGTGGTGAACACTCGCTTGAACATGGCTTTAACACAGCAAGCTTAGTTTCATAGACAAATACCTTCACAGTGCCCAAACTTCAGAATGTAGTTTCAGCAGTTTGCTTACTGTGCTGTTGCTACTCTTAAAGATGGTTGAAGAGTTCTTAAGAGAGGTTCTTTGCATCTTGAAAGGTTTTCAGATTGATATAGAATGTCCTGCATAGCACCAAAAAGGGTTCTTATCAAGCTTGTAACAATAGAAGAACCCTTTTTGGTGCTGTATAGAACCCAAATAGAACTATCCACACCACATTCTCCAGAACCCTTTCACAATGTAAAGAACTCTAATCATGAAAAGGTTTGAATTCATGGTTCTAATATAGAACCATTTTCTTTAAAGAATCCTTGAAGAACCGTTAAGTGTAGCTGGCTGACTTTGCTCGTTTCTATTTAAACTGTAACACTTCTGAAATTTCTAATATATAGAACAGTTTGATTTGGTCTTGCTTTGGCAGAGGTGGTTCATTCTAATGTGATGCAGCCCCTGCAGCTGTTCCAACCCCAGTTTTTTGCCTTTGCAGGGGATACAGTAGCCCTCACCCAGTCCATCTCCATGGACAGTCTGCTCGAAGGAGTGAACAGGTCTCGATATTATCGCTACCTTGGCTCCCTGACCGTCCCCAACTGCAACGAGGCTGTGGTGTGGACTGTCTTTAAAGACCCTGTCCGAGTCAGTCATGACCTGGTAAGCTTTGGCTGCACTTGAGAATTTAGAAAATGCTCAAAGTTATGGTTGAATGCAAAATGGCTCCCTTTTAACATGGGCATTCAATTTATATTGTGGTGTTTGCCTTTGAAATGGGGTCATGATGAGGCTTTTAAAACGATTTAAAGGATCCTTATTTAAATTAGCAAGAATCCATTCAGAGAGGTGCTTCGTAGCTTTTGTAATGGTTTTTCATTTTAAACCATATGGTCAGTTGTCACCTAGAAAGTCAGTGCAGTCGCACTTTAAGTTTTATTGAAGTTATTAACCACGGCTGAAAATTAAACACTAATGTTTTGTCCTTGAGCTTGTGGTTGTGGTTTTATGAATATAACTTTTAAATATTTTGTGAAAGGGCTGTTGACCTTGGAAGGTCCTGTACCCTCCCTGTTCTTTATACTAGCATGTCAGAATAAGAGTCCTTTGTTTCTCCACATATACCTTTTGAGGAAATCAGAATTTATGGATAAGTTTTTGGGTGAGTTCAATGATTTTAAAGGTTTGAGGCATAATTATGCCGAACGCCTTGTTTCAATATTTTGTTGTTTGTGTTTAAGGCTCTAGTTTTTAGGAAGCAAGCAGGTTTGTGTGGGTGTTTTTTGTGTGCACCAAGTGAGTTCACATTAAGGAGGTATTGTAGAATGTGATGTCGTCATTATTACATTTGTATTGGGGGGAAAAAGTGCATCACTGACCTGTAAATGACTTATTAATGCAGACCGATCTTTAACCATGTCTGTCTTAACCTTGACCTCGTCCTATATTATGTGTACAATTTGCTCCATAATCAGTTTTGTTCAGTGTGCATCAGTTTTCGTTTTGTCCAAGGCTTCAGTTTAATCTCCTTATATAAAGTACATATGGAATACAGGGCTGCAGATTTGACCCTCCTGTAGTTTTCTGTTAAAGCTATAGTTTCAGTGGTTGACAATGGATGATTATTATTATTATTATTATTATTATTATTATTTATTTTATTTATTTATTTTTTTTGTACAATTAGGGGAAAGATTGCAGTAGTTAAGAACGTGGAGATGGACATGTAGTAAATCTACTTCAGAGATGATTTAAACCCTTTGTTCTCCAAACACCAGGTTGACCTCTTCAGCACTAGACTGTACGTCAACAAGAGCACCAACTCTCCCCTGATGACCAACACCTTCAGGCGCACTCAGTCCATAAACAGCAGGGTCGTGACCTCGCAGGTGGGAAGCAGCAAAGCCGGTTTGCCGTCGACCTCGGCAGCCACCCGGCCTTTCCTCACTTTCTCCTTCGTCGCAGCGTTCATGTTCGTCGCCTTCTGTTATGTCTAGATTTTAGATGTTTTGGGTGAGCACCTCATCCTTTCCGTTTTATTATTTCAATCCCATAAAAACTAACTGCCTTTTAATTTCAGTCCACCTTAAATGGTTCCTCACTTATGCCGGCACATGTGGGTATACCTGTGGTAACAGAAGTGCACCATTTAAGGTGGACTGGGAAATGCAAATGCCTAGCTAGACTTGCTCATTGTTGCCTTCTGTTTTACAGATAATGAATCGACTGATCAAGATTGGTGTCTGAAGAGAATGAAGAAAATGAGTTTTCTACAGTTTTAATGACACAAAGTTTAATAAATGTAGTGTTGCATAATTTGTGTACATCTCTACTGTGTAAAGCAGTAGAATGGAATGGGGATATTTATGCTGTAAACTGGATTTTGCACTTTAAGTGTTGATGGATCAAACTTATAAAAACTGATTAAAACATTAAATGAGTGCTCAAATTGAGTTAGTGTCATCACATATACACAGGTGTGAAGGTGAGTTCAAAAGTTGTAGTACTTGAATATACAAACAAGAGAGGGGTGTGTGTGTGTGTGTGTGTGGTGTGTGTGTGTATTTTTTATATATGCACAAAATATACTCTAAATATATACACATTAGTATACACCAGTATTGCACCACTTCCAATGTACAGTTTTTAACAATAAGTTATGAAATAAAAGCTGTGATATGTGCAGTTGTGTGTGTGTGTTTTTTTTTTTTGTTTGTTTTTTTTTTTCCTTGCCTGATGTCTCTTACTAATTATTAATCCGCCCTCCCCCAAAACCTGGTGAAAGGTTACATGCAGGATGTTATTAGGCTAAATAGTTCCCAAAGTGTATTGGGTAGTAAATAAAATGTCTGATTTTTGTTTAAAATGTATATTTCAACACATATTTATGGCAGAGGGATACATGTGGCAAGTTGTGAGGCAAAACAGTCGTCGTCGTCGTCGTCGTCGTCAAAAAAAACTGACTCGTGTAGGTTCACTGGTGGTTTTGATAGTAAATAAAATGTCTATATCTGTGTTGTAGTCATGGCGACCCCTGGTTCCTATCACCACCACTGTAAAGACATCCGAGTCTCTACAATCAACCATTTCATGTCAAACCACTGAATGATTCTGTTTACATCTCGAACACAATCCTGCACAAATTGGAATTCCTCTTTTAAAACAGCGACGCGATTCACACATGTTGACCGCCAGGACTCACCCTGTATGATCAGAGTGACTGTGGAGATCTCAGTGACTTAGTCAGTAATCCAGTTTACATACATTTAAATGCCACATTTAAATCCCCACAGCAGCGTGTTCGGTGTAGAACTTTCCCTCATGTCTCAGAGTCCTTTGACTCAGACTCTGAGTTTAGTGCTGGTGATCAGAAATTTACAGCTAAATACACACAAAAATGACTCATGCAGTCACGCTTATAAAAATGAGGCTAAACGATAGCCAGGCCGTGTATACATGCTTCTGAGCTGAGAGTGGGGGAGGACCTGAGAAAGAGAATGGCCTTGTCCCAATTCAACACGCTTAGTGCACTTTCCCTCAAAATCGAACAAACAGGCCCTAAAACAAATGACAAACATAAAATTAATAATATCTAGCTCTGTCTTTCAGTTTACATTGATTTTCAGTATTAAAAATATGATATTAAATATGCAACTCGATTTGTAATTAAAAATAAAGCCTGTCTTGCTGTGTGTCGTCCGCCTTATGCTAATTGTTTATTTTTAATCATAATAACCAATAGAATGAATCACCATCAAAATTCTTGCACTTTCAGCCCACAGACACTCCAGATTAACAATTTCTGAAAAGGTATCTGAGGTTTTTTTTTCCAAGATCTCAATAACCAAAAAATTACAAAATTTTGCAGGCGCTAGGTAAATTTTTGATTTAAAAATTAGCCAAATTCATAGAGAGATCAAATTTCTTCTCATGAAGCATTCTGACTTTTTTTTAAAAAAATCCTTTGCTATAATGGGCTGGTCATAAGTGTCTCATATAGGCAGGATTCCTTACACCAGGGGTGTCAAACTCACTAAAAGGGCCATATAAAAAAAAAAATCTCAAGAAATCGGTGGGCCGGAGAACGCCTACGTTTTTATTTCATTTTTAAATAATTTAAACATTTTGCTATAACCTGAACTGGCTATTGTTTATTCAAACAATAAAACATCAATGAAACAGGCACTTGTAGTAAACCTTGAAATATCACAAGTAATATCACAATACATTTTACAAAGTATTACAATACTTGAAATAGTAAAAAAACAAAAGCTCTGAGGAGCTCAGTCTTTTAAACCTACCTACTTGCTTGATCTAGACACCTGGCATCTTTTCTTTGCTGCAAGTTCACTGATTCTCTGGATCAGTTTCTGAGCTGCTGAGCTGAGTGTTTAGTGTTTGTTGGTTGAACTGCAGCTCAAACACTGCTAATGTGTTTGGTACATAACTGGTGTGGTAGAAGTGAGGTGTAACCGCTTTCCCATAGACTGTTGTTGGGGGAGGGGGGTGGGAGTGCACATTAAACTGCAGTGCATGCTGGACGTTGTAGTGCAGGGCATTATGAAACAGACTGTTATTGATAGAAAACTAAAACAATTTGGCGGGCCGGATCTGTGTTTGAAGCAGGGGCCTTACACGGTCACCTGTCAGCGCCATCCAGCTGCTCATGCCGAATGAAATCCAGTCTCAGTTTCAGGCTTTGTCAGTGCAGCTAGAAGCAGCAGTTAAAATTGCCAACTCAGTATGCTGCAGCTGATGTCCTGGGCTGTCCACTGTTGTCGCCCGTAAACCACATGTACACCACCATGGAAAACTGACCACATGGATGTTTTGAGTTAATGTTGACAAGAGAGACATTAGGAATTCCATCGTAATGAAAAAGCATGCCTTCATAACAACGCTGCTCTGAGGTCACCCTGAAAGCGGTGGTCAGGCACAGCCGCCCTGATGAGTGGCTTTACTACTGTATGTTTTGCTGTGTGGAATGTAATTAAACACAAGGCAGGTACAGGGATGCAGGTGATCCACATTCCCCTGTTATGTGGCAAGTTAGGAGAAAGAATTCATGGGGTGAGTGTTGACAGCTTCAGCATTTACACTGATCAGCCACTTCATTAACACCATCTCCTCGTTTCTACACTCACTGTCCACTTTATCAGCTCCACTGACCATATAGGAGCACTTTTTCTCTGCATACTTTGTTACCCTGTTCTTCAATGGTCAGGACCCTCACAAAGCAGGTACTATTTGGGTGGTGGGTCATTCTCAGCATCAGTGGATCAGACACAGCAGTGCTGCTGGAGTTTTTAAACACCTCAGTGTCACTGCTGGACTGAGAATAGTCCACCAACCAAAAATATCCAGCCAACAGCGTCCTGTGGACAGTGTCCTGTAACCACTCATGAAGGACTACAGGATGACCGAGACAAACTGTGCAGCAACACACCATTTATAATAAATTAGATTTATTGAAGTTATGGCAAATGTAATAAATGCACATCCTTACATACAAATACAACACATGTATGGTTCATTTTCATCTTATAAAAGTCTTCTATATCTTTATTATCTCTTCAAAAAAATAAAAATATTATGAACATGACTGAACTATTCAGTGAAAGTTGTGTTTAAACTATAACCAACACAGTATGTAGTACAGCAGCGGTCAGGGACAGGGCCGGTAAGGTGTGGTTGCTGAGGAAGGCTGAGACACTATGACTCTGCAGTTCAGTGCCTGAAGTTGTTGGTGATCAGAGGCTGGGCTGTTGTGTTGATGTACATGGTGGTGCTGAAGAGGTTGATCTAATGACAGAGAGAATAAATCAGTGCATGTTCGTTACACTTAAAGCTACACTATGTAAGTTTTGGGGATTTGGAGACCTCTCTGGTGAAAATGTGTAATTGCATGCAACGTGCAGAAGAACATTTTGTAACAGGGGTTGTGTTTCAGACCGCTTCCCTCCTGAATTGTGTTTCTTTGGTTTTAGCACTGAGGCTAATAAAGCTGACAAGTAATGGACGCTTATACCCCAATTAGCAGCACTGCTGTGTCTGATCCACTCGCACCAGCGCAACACACACTAACACACCACAGTGTCACTGCAGTGCTGAGAATGATCCACCACTCAAATAATACCTGCTCTATGGGGGTCCAGTGGGGGTCCTGACCACAGAAGAAGAGGGTAAAAAAGTATGCAGAGAAACAGATGGACTACAGTCTGTAACTGTAGAACTACAAAGGGCTCCTATATGGTCAGTGGAGCTGATAAAATGGACAATAATGTAGAAACAGGTTTTAAAATGTGTTTAATTTAATACCCCACAGCTACAGAAGACTCCTCATGAAGATGTGTAGTAGGAGGGAAGGATCAGATTAGGTATCTCTTATTTTTGAAACACTGCAGCTTGGTATAACTGACCGGTGTCCTTGCAAGGAGCCATGTTGCCACAACATGAACTGCCTGTACGCTGGATGCCGATAATTGTTGTCTTTTCCGTGGTATTGGTGGTATTGGTATCAGCTAAAACAAAACACTACCCGGTCCAGACTACACAAGGACATACGAAGCAGGACACGTCTACAGGCCCCTTCTTCCCCACCACAACACTTTCTCTCCAAGTCTGTTGACATCTCCCTGCGAATGGTGCGGAATCTGCTGCTGCTTGATGCTGGACTCCTGGCTGCTGCATAGCGAGGGCATCAACACGAGTCCTGGTATCTTGTCCGTGACCTCCATCAACAAGCCCTGAGTCACAGTGTTGGATAAGTAATTAATAAAGAAATTATACAACAGTTAGTTCCGGCCACGCAAGCTGATTGGTTGAGAGGCATTCTAACTGTGCTGTTATTGTGCTTTTAAGATCACATTTGACGAGATGAGACGACACTAAATTCCCAAACTGTCATCACCACTGAGCAGCTTTTCAGTCGGCAGCTGTGACAGAAGAACAGCTAAACAACCTGGAATCAGCCAGAAATGAACCCAACACCATTCGCCAAACTAAATGGGCTGTAAGATGCTTTACAGACTGGCTGAACAAAACAACATTAATACTGATCTGGCAAAAACTGACAAAACTGAGCTGAACTTGATATTGCAGCAGTTTTATGGCTCAGTCTGTACTTCAAAAGGCAAGGCTTACAGCAGACCGTGCAGCGAGTGGGCGGAGCTCGTTACTCTGACGTAGCAACAATCTGCTTGTTAAAGAACTATAATTTGGTGAAGGAACTGCGAACATTAAAACATATTAAACGCTGCGTTCACGGCCCAGTTTATTCATTTATTACTGTATTTATTTAACTGTTGTGTAAAAGCAGTAGAACACTCGAGGAGTGTGTTATCACCAATAACATCACGGCTGTGATGATCTACAGCGACCAAATCACAGCTGTGATGTTATTTCGCGATAACACACTCTTTTGGATGGGTCTGTTCTAAAGTTTGTTTTAGGCGTAGATTTGCAGAATGAGGCAGCATGAGAACATCGGGGTAACAGGGAAGATTTAATGCTGGGTTAGCTATGTTGCTGATCCTAGGTCTATTACTAGTAATGACAGGGATGACTGGAACCGAGTCGTTTAAAGTTAAGAATAGGGGTGGGAATCACAGGGCATCTCACGATGTGATATTATCACGATACGTTGCCCATGATAATGATAATATCACAATACTGAGATTCTGTGATACTCGATATATTGCAAGACAGTCCTCCATGATATATTACGATAAAATAAAATACTCCTACACAGGCAAAAAGCAGGAATGATGTATTTATTAGTGTCAGTTTCACAGAATTTGACAACCAGTATAAAACAATGTCCAACAAAGCGCAGAGCTTAGCTTCATTAACACACATACACTGACTGTGTGTATCAACGTTAAATACCCATAAACCACCAGAAAGAAGAGCAGTTCTGGGGTTAAAATGTCTAAAGGTAGAACTGAAATCTTTTCTAGCTGTGTGAACTTACAGAAAAATAAATAAATAAATACATTTATAACGTTTTCAGTGAAATATTTTCGGCTCTGTATGTCGTATCTTGGTTCCAGTGTGTGAAACACTTGGTGAAAACCTTCATTTCCGATTACACTGTATGGGTGAAGGCCCTTGCAAATAAACCTGGCGACACACATAGTAATACTGGTAGCCCTCGGGGGGCGTAACAGGAAGTTTTGCTTTGAAGACAGCACAATTGGCCTCGCTCTCTCTGGGTGGGCAGGATGGTCCTCTTGGCACACAGCTAGACAACAAATGTACCTTTACATGCCATATCACTGAGTGTGTTTACATGCACTTAATAATATAAGATCATAACCAGTCTTCTGCAGTTATCTGATTATTCAAATGGTCGTGTAAACAGCACACTAGATCCGAGTAACGGATCTGAATCCGAGTAAAAAATCTGATAAAGAGGCTGGGTTTTAGCTCAGTAATCAGATTTCTCAGTGCATGTGAACTCTTACTCTGATTTCTTTCGTTTCTCTCAGTCTGCGCATGTGCAAAAACAGGCGGTGGTACCGGAAATAAGCAAGCAGCGTTTAACACAGCACCCGCGAGATGCAACAAAACACTTTTAGAGCGACGCTGAAACCAAATACATGCTTGACGAAATGAAGGATTTAAATATTCTTCATCTTCTAGATGATGTATGTTCATATTTTCAGGTAAAGTGGTGCAATGTTTAAAAGAAATATTACGTTACGTTTACGGCACGTCTTCCTCTATGAGTTTATTGGCTGGTTGTAAAGCAAAAATCTGATTACTGTCTGACTCATGTAGACCCGGAGTTTCCCCATTATCTGATTACTCAAGTGTAATCGTGTCGATCGGATTACTGACAAAATCTGATTTTCTGCAGTTATCGGATTATTAAGTGCGTTTAAACGCATCCACTGACCTCACAGGCCAATTGAGACAAAATGTGATATCCAGTGCACACTAGAAAAGGATTGTTGAAGCTACATTATTATCTACTCTTAAATTATGGTGATATGCATCTGCTAATACTCTAAAACCTTTAGATTCAGTCCAGCTCTCAGCTCTCAGGTTCATCCCTGGTGACCTTTGTAACACTTATCATCGTTTGTTGTATAAGAAAGTAGGTTGGTGCTGTCTGGCTGTACGTCGGGAAACACGCTGGTTTTGTTTATTTATGAAACCCTTATTGGCCACATACCATATGCGACATGCCATCGTATCGCATCCATGCTTACTGTAAATAATGGAAATTATCGAAATCACTCCAGTGACTGGATCACCCTTCACGTGCTTCAGATAAGACCTGATTTTAGCTACAGCCAGCTGGATAACATCAAAACAAACTGGACACTCTGAAGCTTTTTTATCTCCAAGCACTTCCACTCAGCCTGCAGCTGATATATTGATATATTAGCTTCTTATGTTTTAATTTTTACTTCAATGTTTATTATTTGAATCCTTCATCTTTGTTCTAATGCTTGGTTACATTGCAGTTAACAGCCACCTTCATTGTAGATTGTTTGATTGATTGATACCTGATACATGGCTGTAATCACTTGTATACTGTGCAGTTTTTCTACAATGAAAGTTGGGCCTATGTCATGTCTTTTGCTCCATTTTGTCAATAAAAAACATGAGCAACAACAGATATATTTGCTTTTACCTAACGCACATCAGCCAACGCAGAGAAACCAGGCTTAAAGAAGTCTCCTGTAGAATAACAATATCAATAATAATGATACTAATAATCTTTATTTATATAGCGCTTTTCGTGCCGGTGGCAGCTCAAAGTGCTTTACAGACAGGTGATAAAGCTTAACAGTGATAGAAGCAATTATCAGTATACACTTAAAATCATATAAAAATGACACAGATCAAATTAAAAGATAAACACCATGAGACATAGTTTTCATTAAATGCTGAGTTAAAGAGACACGTTTTTAGATGCTTCTTAAAAATGAGCTCTGAGCTTGACTGTCTAATAAAAGGTGAACTGAGCTCCACAGTTTAGAAGCAGAATAACTGACAGAATGACTGAGTCTCAGCACTTGGAGATTTTTTTCTGTTTTGTTGATTGTTTTCTGTATTTTATGGAAGGAATTTGCAGAAGGTCAGTATCTGCAGATCTAAGATTACATGCTGGAACATAAACATACAGGCACTCTGTGATGTAAACGGGTTCTTTAAGGTCATTTGGGGCCTAAAAACTAGTAGCAGAACTTTAACTTCAACTTTTAGTTGTAAAGGATGGATTATTTTCTCCAGTAAGAAGATCATTAAAGTGATCAATTGTAACAAATGTAACAAATGCATGAACGAGTTTCTCTGCGTCGCTCTGAGAGAGAAAAGGCTGAACTTCAGTTATATTTCTCAAATGATGAAAAGCTACTTTAGTGACTGTGTTTACATGCAGATAAAACAGAGCTCAGAGTCTAAGATCACACCCAGGTTTCCTAATTCAGGTTTGGTATATGAAGCTAAAGAACCAAGGTTCTCATAAAGCAGCTTTCTCTGAGTTTTAGTACCAACGATCAGTATTTCAGTTTTTTCATGATTTAATTTTTCGACATCCACTGAGAAATATCTGACACACAGCTGGTCAGTCTGTCTACAGAATCTTGATCATCAGAAGGAATGGAAATGTCTAACTGTATGTCGTCAGCATAGCTATAAAAATTTATATTATGTTTCCTAATGACATCACCCAGAGGTAACGTACAAAGAGAAAAGCAAAGGCCCTAAAACTGAGCCCTATGGGACTCCACAAGAAATGTTACCTTTTTTTTTGATGAATGATTTCCCAATGAAGCCAAAGTGTCTCCTAACTAAATATGATTTTAACTGCTCTAAAACTGTGCCTGAGATGCCGACCCAGCGTTATATAGTTGCTTGTTTCAGTCCGCTGAGCTGCGCTGTGTCTTATCAAGACTATATATTCAGAAAATTAATTTTAGAAGATAAATCCGCATGAGCCACACTAGCAGACATGTTGGGTTTAATTATTCGATCTATGGTGGAGAAAATGACTTTGGTTTTATGTTTGGGTTTATTAATTACACCAGAGAAGTTTGACTGTCTGGATTTTTATAGCATTATTGTAGGTGGAGATCTGCTCTTCGAGAATATCATAATGTACCTGCAGCTTCTAAATTGATTTCAAAGAAAATACAGAAATTATCTGAAATTAAAATATCAGAGATGAGGGACACGTTTGTGTGTTTAAGCCGCTTTTCCACTGCATGGTACCGGCTCGACTCGACTTGCTTTTGGTACCAGCTACTTTGTTTTCCTTTGCAGATATAGCGCCCCCTCAGGGTAGCTGGTCGCCATAGCGATGCCAAATGAAACTGCCGTGACATGAAGAAGACAAATTTTGTTCAGAAGAGGCTGACTGCAGAAAGACAAAAGACTGCTGACAAAAAAGGAGAGTTTGGGAAAAACTACATCAGAGTTCAGATGACGAGACGATTCTGGCGGCTCAAAAAGGTGATGCAAGAGGCTACGCTAACCTGGTAGAGAACGTTAGCATATGTGTTTAGCGATTCTCTCTGACCAATCAATAATCTGCAGTGTTTTTACGTCCCCTTTTGGTATAGGCTTAGCTCGCTTGGAACCTCAGAGATGGTACCAAAAAAGTACCAGGTACCCGGTACCAACTTTTACCAAAAAAGGCGAGTAGAGTCGAGTAACTGGTACCATGCAGTGGAAAAGCGGCTTTAGTGATGACCAGATCCAGGATGTGACCAAGCTTGTGGTAAAAAGGTGTCCAAGTGCTGATTCAAACGAAATGTGTCTAGAACTCTAATGAATTCTATTGCCTTAAAGTCTGATTCCACAATTTCTGCCAAAAAATGACTATTTTGCTTTGGAGGTCTCTATATTACATCTAGTAACATTAAACTATCACTAAAAAGGTTGACCCCCAACATACTCAAAAGACATAAATTCACCAACGGTAAAATTTTGGCAATTAATCCTCGCCTTACTGTACACATGGCAATGCAATCTCCGATTATTAGGAGGTGCTGAGGCGCTGAAACGAAATGGTTACTGGACGAGAGGTCCGGCGGAGGATGAGCTGATGAAGGCCTTCTCTTTCCCCAGCCACGCTGGCGTTCCCAGCGCTGCTTTGGTGTGGGCAAGAAGTTGGGAAATCCCGGCATTAGCCATGCTCTGTCCGGAGAAGTAGAAGTCACCACCAGACTTGATGGACCTGAAACTGCTGGATGGTCCTTTTCTTCTTTGGCCTGGAAAACACAACATCCATTATTTCCATAAACATTCTGAAAGGTTGACTCGTCTGACCCCATTACACATGTCCACTGTGCATCAGTCCATTTCAGATAAGCTCAAGCCCAGTCTGCATTTCTGGACATTGTTGCCATATGGCTTCCGCTGTGCACAGTACAGTCCTAACTTGGGTTAACCCCTTAAATGGGGCACACCGGTGGGCCCAAAGTTTTATTGCACACTTTATAACCCAAGAACAGCTCAGCCAGTTTGCACCGAAGTCCCTGTAGTTACTGAATAATAAGCCTAATAAGCCTGGAATTTTAGGGGATTTCTCTGGATTCCCAGAGACCCAGAGTGAACACAGTAGAGGGTGACATACCTAAGAATGCTGTTCTGAAACTGTCTGATTATTTTGCCAAGCAGCGAGCCTTGACCCATTCATAAAGGATGCTCCTTTTATACCTAAGCATGACTGCATCACCTGTTTAACATGTTTTTGAACATTACACAACATTCCTAGTCTTAAACTGACCCCTTTTTGGAACTGGAATCAGTTTTAAAATGAGCATATATTTACAAAAAACAATGAAGTTGGTAAGATAAAACATGAATTACATGTTCATTGGACTACTATTGTTTAATTACTGGCCACAGTGGATTTATAGGTCGCTGCCTTCTGTTTTTATTTGCATTCCACATTTCTGTTTGTTCTCATATTGGTTGAGTGACGGTTGCATGCAGCCCAAATATTTAAATGCAAAATGTTGATGGAAAGCGGTTGTGCTCAGTGAAGTACAAGAAACCAAAACCAAAACAGTGTTGTTTCAACATGGTCACGGTGGAAGGGTAAGCAGTTCCTGCACTTCAATAAATATGTCAATGACACCTCGATTTCTGTGTCATAATGTCATCAATTTCTGGCATAAATTCTAAAGACATTTAATAAAAGTCATTTATTTCATTTCCAGTCAAAAGTTATTCATTCATTATTTTTACAGATGTAAGTCAAGCTAGTATTTTTTTACTTTGTCTTATTTTTCCAGATAAAAAAGTCAAGCTAACCATATTTTTTAAAGTTGTACTATTTGGAAATGAAGTAAATGAAGGGTGGTATCTGACTTTTTGCACAGCAACATAAGTGAATTTTCCTCAAACACATTTATATGGAACACAACAAAAATGTGGACTGGCTCAGGACTGGACTAAACTATGTCTGGCTACATATGGACATTAATGAAGCTGTATTACTGAAATCTAATGAATAAATGAATTTAATGATAAGGCAGAGAATCTTTCCTCGCAATGATCGTAAATGGAATGATGTGGGTGGATGAAGATCTGTGACCGCGATCTGATAATGAGAAAACAAAAAGACCCGCAGAGTCAGTGACACGCCCCCATCCTCTGAGCCATAATAAAGCAGAGAAGGAGTGTCATCACAGTGTTCTGCCAGATACCGAGCGGTGAACATCTCTGCTCAAAGGTAAGTTCACTGTCTATTTTCTGGAACTCACTCATTTTATTATCTGAGTCTAGGCTTATATCAGAGCTTCAAACTTGAATCATACAGAAGTCAAACTGGCTGGTATTTTTAATTTTTTGTTTTTGGTCATATTTTTAATTTTTTTTTTTTTTTTCAGATTAAAGTCTAGCTAGATATTTGGTTAAATGTGTCTTGTTTTTACAGATGAAATTCTGGCAAGTCATATTTTGAATTTTATAAAATATTTACAGATGAAATTCATATTTTGATTTTAAATATGTTACAGGCAGAAGTCCAACTCCTTGCATTTTTATAATGTCTTATTTTAACAGATGAAAGTCAAGCTCATCATATTTAAATTTGTCTTATTTTTACAGATTATAGTGAAATTAGTCATATTTTTAAAATTCTACTCTTTTAAAGACAAAAATGTCGAGCTAGTCATTTTTTAAAAGCTTGTATTATTTTTACAGATGAAAATATCAAACTAGTTATATTAAATTTGTATTATATTTACAGATGAAAATGTCAAGCTATTAATGTTTTTTGTAGATTTTACAGATCAAAGTCAAGTTAGTCATATTTTTAATTTTATAAGATTTTTACAGATGAAAGTCATGTTTTGATTTTGAAACTTTAATAGGCAGAAGTCCAGCTGTTCACATTTTTATTTTGTCTTATTTTAACAGATGAAAGTCAGGCTAGTCATATTTATTAAATTTTACTTTCTTACAGATGAAAATGTCAAGTAGTCATATTTTCAATTTGTATTATTTTTATAGATAAAAAATGTCAAACTATTACATTTTTTAAATTAATTTTACAGACGAAAGTCCAGCTAGTCATATTTTTAATTGCAAAAGATTTTTACAGATGAATGTCATATTTTAATTTTTTGTATTAATTTTACAGATGAAAGCCCAGCTAGTCACATATTTTATTATTTTGTATCAATTATACAGATGAAAGCCCAGCTAGTCATATTTTAATTTTTGTGTATTAATTATACAGATGAAAGCCCAGCTAGTCATATTTTAATTTTTGTGTATTAATTTTACAGATGAAAGCCCAGCTAGTCATATTTTATTACTCTGTATTAATTTTACAGATGAAAGCCCAGCTAGTCACACTTCTTGCTGCCTGTTTGCTTCCCACTGTTCTGAGTGACGACACCTCAGTAGGTGAGTCATGTTTTTTGTTCTCATTATTGTTTATAATAATTTGCCTCCAGTTATTTATTCATTATTTTGGTAAAGAAGTTCTCTCTCATGTGACGTCAGCTATGATCTTTTTCAGAGTGGTGTTATAACTTGCCGTCCTGCAGTAAGTGTTTACTTTTCCCTCCTAAACGATGTTAACGTGTTTTTCTCAGTTGTACTGACTGCACATGTGAAAGCGGTCAGTGAGGAGTGTAATCAGTGTAATCAATGTTAACTGCTGTTTAGTAAGCCCACATAGCTACTGCGAGTGGGCTACAAGGGTTTGTTCTCCTGTCTGATCTACTTTATTCTTTTCATAGATTACATGACTTGGCCAACTACAATACCCCACCACTGCAGCGGCGACTGTCAGTCTCCCATCAACATTGTGACTGCTGACGTCCAGGAGGATCCCAACCTCACCGCCTTCAATTTCGCTGGGTTTGATGATAACTCCACACTCCTGCAAATAAAAAACGCAGATGGAAAGTCAGGTGAGCGTTTCCGCTGTCGATGATAGCTGCACAATTTGTGTTAGTCATTGTCTAGCCTTTCATCAGTGGTCAGTTTCTGGCCACAGGACACTGTTGAATGAATATTTTGGTCAGTGGACACTACTAGCATCACTATAATGTACAATATAGTGTCAGTGCTGAGAATGATCCACCACCCAATCATACCTGGTACTGTGGGGTCTTGACCACTGATGAACAGGTTAAAGGTGTCTAAGAAATGCAGAGAAACAGATGGACTACAATCTGTAGTAGTTGTTGCACCGGTCCAGGGAAGGGCAGACGCACACTGGGAAACAGATCAAGAGCTCAGAGATACAGACCAGCGTGAGTTAACCACAGTGTTTTATTCACACATTCAAGCATACTCTTTCTAGTCCCTCGCTCTCTTTGGCGTGTGGTGTGCAGGCGGCCAGGAGGCCAGCGTCCTCTCTTCCACACTGGAGAGAGCGAGGGACCTGAGAGAGGACAAATTCTTTATGTTTAGGCTGAGTAGGCCATTTTTAACATTGAGTTTTGGTTTGTATATGTGTCTCTGAGCTCTCGTTCTGTCCTTTCTGGGTGAGTCTGTTGACTGGGAGCCGCTAGAGGCTCGGAGGCACACTGCAGCTCTGGCGACGGTGCCATTACTTTTGGTTTTGTTTCATTTAAATAAAAAAATGCCAGGAGGGAAAAAGGGAAAAAAACAAAAGAGCCTGCAACTCACCCCTGGACCCTCTGGACCCTCTGGACTTCCACTACCGCGCCTGGAGCGACAAGCTGACCAGCCCACAAGACAAGCAGCGGGTGGCAGGGCCAAGTTACTGGCCTCTATGCCTCCAGAGGAAAAGCGGCATCTGCCCCAGCCAGAATGGGGCTGGTGTATGTGGTGAGAAATACCTTGTAACAGATTGCACCAGTGGGCTGAAGGAGCTCTGCTGCTCTTTTATATCCATCCTGAGGACTGGGAGGATGTTGATGAGAGTGTGGAATGGGTCTTCAAGCCTGTGGAGGTCAATGTCTTGGAGCCGCAGCCCTCCTACTGCCCCACGACCCTCGCAGACAGGGCCATGGCATAGAGAGACCCCTGCCCCCATCCACCCTGATCTGGTGTTTTTCTCTTCCTCCAAAAAGAGGAACATAGAATACACATAGAATAACTACAATGTGCACTTATCTTGTAAAAGGACTTTCCTCATGAATATAGAAGTAAAATGATCATCTGAAAACACTCATAAATGTACAAATTCTGCAAACTTGTGCTTCAGTAACAGTAACTGAGTCGGTACCTACAGTAAGAGCAGGGCTCTCAACTACTAGACCAGCTTCATACGGCCCACCACATGTTTGAAATTTACCCCTAAATCTGGCAAATAATTTTTTTTATTGATTTCCTGTAGCTTAATATTTACACCTGACAAATAGATATATCCACCACACACTGTGTCTGGTTACTCAACCTAAGCTCTAAACAATCAGCTCAGACTGATGACTGTGATGTTAGAAGCAGAAATAGAGCACTACACAACAGGAACCATTCAAATGCAAACTTGACGTAGCATGAACGCTGCACTCTGACTGTAACGTAGCTATAATTAGCTTAGCTATTATTCTAATTCAGACTGATAGTTAAATTTGCCATAGTGGATTCTTTCAGGACATGATGTGAGATACAGCCGGTCAGAATTAAGAAATTAGTAGAATTTCTCTCGCAATACCTTCAATAACTTCACTCACGTTTAGCCTGAACATGCTATCATATTAAGAGAAAAGGCCACTGCACTCTGGGTGTGGTGCATCGCGTCGCACAACGTCCAAAAATTCAAAAACATTGTTTTTCATGGAGGCTCACACACGAGCAATGGTGCTCAGTGACTCCAAGCACTGTTTAATTTCTTATTAGAGAAAGTCACAGCAGACCACGCAGCATTTTACCATTACTACTTTAAATTAAAGCCATACTGAGAACACAGAAAGCCACAGTAGATCACACGAGAAAAGACAGCCAGCCCTTCAGGTAAACAGAGAAATGCTAATGGTGAGTTACCTCAGCTAACATTATTAGCTTAGCCTTTTTCAGCTTGTACCTTTCAGACTGAAAATAGCCAGTTTGTGAAGAGGTTAGCCAATGATTAGTGGCGCTGGACGCTTTATTTCATTCAGTTTATATGAGTAGACTGTAAAACTGAACCTAAACCTGGCTTTTTGGGCTCTCTCTAACATTTTATAGCAGCACTCTGCTAAATGGCGCTAAGTGATGCTGTACTGCAGTGCGTCCAGTGTGCGGTGGCCTTTAGAGTACATGTAAATTTACTTCATTTAATTAAACTCTAAAGTATTTATTAAACACTACTAATAGTATAATAATAATATACTAATATACTATATACTACTAATAATAGTATTTATCATAATTATTATTATAAGTGGTATTAGCTGTGATTTGTGGTGACGGAAGAATTGATAATAAACATAAGATGCACCTAAAGGAGTGTAGATTTTATCTGGGACATTTTTCCCCCTGAATTTTTCAACCGGCCCCTCCATAGACAGAACCACTGTGGTGGTCTCCAGATAATTTTAATTTGAGACCCCTGAAATAGAGGCTGTTGCTCTTAATATCACACACCAATTTTATCTGTGTCTTTGCCTCTGCAGTGAAGGTGTCCCTGGATGACATTAAGATGAGTGTGTCAGGAGGGGGTCTTCCAGGCCTCTACATTAGCACACAGTTCCACCTCCACTGGGGCAACGGCAGCTCTTCAGCTGGATCAGAGCACACAGTGAACGGCAAACGATATCCAATGGAGGTGAAAGAAACACTGCTGTAAAAACACTACTGAGATTTAGAACATCGACTAACTTCATAAACTAACTCTCTCTCTCTTTCTCTCTCTCAGCTGCACATAGTAAACATGAAGTCCACTCTTCCCAACATGACTGTCGCTCTGCATGACCCAACAGGATTGGCTGTTCTTGGTTTCTTCATTGAAGTAAGACTTTGTTGGTTTTCTGTATATTGAAAAGATTAGTGTATTAGCTTAGTGTAGGGCTGGGTGATATGTCAATATATTTCATTATTGTGATAAATGATGTCAAAAAACAATACAATATGATTTTCTGAACATATCGTGGATATCGTCAGTACTTGTTCTCATAATAAAGATAACAAAATTAGTCCCATTTAACAGGAAATATTGGGAACACTTTATTTGGATGGTTCACTATAGATACTTTGTAAATACTCAGTCTGCCTTTCAATAATATTCAACTAAATACCCATTAAATGCGACTGAACTTGAAGTTCAGTGTGATAGAGTTTATTAGATCTATCCTTAACCCTAAACCTAACCTTAACCTTAACCTCAGGGCAAAACCTACATCTACTCCTAACCCTATCCCTAACCGTAATATTGTTGATAATCAACTGAGGATCACCAGAAAGTTTGTTAATGATTTAATAGCTGGAGAGCATCTATAGGGGACCATCCAAATAAAGTGTGATCGAAATATTGAATAGAAATTACTGTGTTTACAGTTTTTATTGTTTTTAAGTTTTTTAATGTAGCACTGTTCTTTTTTTCTCTGTTCCAACTGATCAGAAATATCGTGATATAAAATCTATCATGAAAGTATCGTGATATTAGATTTTTGCCATATCGCCCACCTCTTAGTGTTAACTCTAACAGACAGAAGGAGTTCACACTAGGAGTGCGCACGAGTGCTCGAGTGCTTGGTTTACCGTCCCAGGTGACAGTAGATAGTATTCGACTGAAATCACTTTTTGGGGATTCGTTAACAGCTATTACGGAAAGTCAGGGAGCAAATATGAAGGCCAACAATTTAGCTAATGCTAACTTTTAACATGGCTATACAGAGAGAGAGTTCTGTTCATATTTAAAATAAAGTAAATATATTACATTTCTGTACTACAATAAAACACAAATGAATGAAGGGAACTTCAGAATGTCTGCATAATTATATTATATTGTGAGGGTCATTCATGTGAAATGATGCACCATAGATGGACTAAAGCTGGCAGTACTTCAAACGAAAACAACGTTTCAAAGCAAAACAGCCTCTTTTTGGCCAAAACGAAGCAGTTATCTGAGTTTATATGACATGGTATGCGCTGCCTGCTGAACTAGGCAATGTTGATGATGGTAAAATAGTGGAAAATCTGAAAAAAGTAAATAAAAATGAAAAGAAATAAGTTCACTTTGGGGTCTATTTTGCCTCACAACACCCTGCATGTATCCCTCCACCATGCATGCATTTTAAAAAATACATATTAGGCCAAAGTGCAAATCTCACAACTTTCATTCACAACAGTGTCTCAGACATCAGGCAGTGAATTCATAACCATTTCATGTAGTAACTTTCTGTGATGGAGCTTTTAGAGGTGGACGTCTGGTTCCTATCACCACCACTGTAAAAAAGCTTCTCTACAATGAAGCATTTCACATCAAACCGATCTGAATGACTGTGCGTACATCTCAACCACTCAATTAACATGGAAATTAGAATGGCTGTAACTACAACCTTCAAAAAGATGGTTCTTTAGCAAAGACAACGGTTCTATAAAGATCCATGAACACTCAAAGAACCATTTGCATGCTTAAAGAGTTCTTTGCATGGTGAAACAGTTCTTCAGAGTGATGGGGAATGTGTTCTATGTAGCACCAAAACAGGTTGTAACAAACTTGACCTTGTAACAATAGGAAAACCCTTTTTGGTGCTATACAGAACTCTCTTCAAGAAGATTTGAAATAGAACCATATATAGCACATTCTCCATCAATCTGAAGAAGCATTTGACCATGCAATGAGTCTTTCAGCATGTGAATGGTTCTGGAGTGTTCATGGTTCTATATAGGACCATTGTCCTCACTGAAGAACCCTGAGAACTCTGAGTGTAGGCCAACTACAACTACTCTCCAACCTGGCAGTGTGAATTCATAGAGAAAGGAATGTAGGTGAATGTTAAAGCAGTGCTGGTTTGGGCTTCTTTGTGTGTGTTTAGTAAATGAAGGGAAGCTTAATGTGTTGCTGAATGTGTGAAGTGGGTGTAGCAGTGTAGGTGCCCTGATACTGGCGGAACAAGCCAGCATGTTATTGATACCTGCATTTTTGTGTGTGCATTCACTGTCTGCATGAAGTTGCAAGAAACTGTATTTAAAGACTCTGGAATATAGATTTAACGCCAAAGCTTTGTCTTATAAGGATGAAAAGACTTTGAATACTGTTTCTACACTCATTGTCCATTTTATCAGCTCCACTTACTATATAGGTGCACTTTGTAGTTCTACAGTTACAGACTGTAGTCCATCTGTTTCTCTGCATACCTTGTTAGCCCCCTTTTACCCTGTTCTTCAGTGGTCAGGACCCCCATGGACCCTCACAGAGCAGGTACTATTTGGGTGGTGGATAAGTCTGTAACTGTAGAACTACAAAGTGCACCTATACAGTAAGTGGAGCTGATAAAATGGATAATGAGCGTAGAAACAAGGAGATGGTCAGAATGTTATGCCTGATCGGTGTATATGCATAATCTTCCAGTATAATTTTGAAAACTTTTTGGAAGTGTTTTGAGTCAACAGCACTGTTTTATTAGTATAATTATTTATTTTGTTGTTTTTTGTTGTTGTTGTTTTTGTTTTTTAGGCAACCAGTGACAGCGAGAAACCAGAGAGTTGGAAGCACTTGACCTCATTCTTGTCCAATATTTCTAACGAAGGTACAGCTTCAGTTTTTTGTGCAATGCAACTAAGTAAAAATGCATGGAGTTTTTCCACCAAAACGGCATAAAAAAAAGCATGGTGGTGGCAGTTCACGGTGTGATTTTCCAGAAACGTTGCTTCTTCCCACTTCAAACCAAAGCGATGCGAAAACTCTTCATTTAGATCAAAGCTTCCCAAATTGTGTCCTGCAGGTCTGTGAGGATGTTTGATTTGTCCTAACTGTCAGGGGTGGGAAAACAGCACTTGCCACCATATATAAAAAAATAATGAAAAGCCTTGTTAGATGGACAGATCTTCTCGTCTAATTTATAGCAATCGGAAGTAGCCTAAATAACTTACACTTCACAATGTCTTTATATTTACGTGCAATAAACTGAAAGTTATAGTAATATGTTTTTTTAATCATCTGTTGTCCTCCTCAATGTACAACCAGAGCCGGTTTAAGGGGAGCCTGTCCTTTTGCTGTTTCTCCCATTATAGCAAAAGCATCACTGCATCATGCAGTTGAATGTTGAAGAATTACACAGCTAGCAAAAATGTAATAAGTAAATGAATAAAAATCAAGCAGCCCATCCCAAACTGTCCAACCTGAGGAAAACTGTCCAACCTGAAGCAATTGTAGCCTTTTCACAATGACGTCCACCTTCAAGATACATCATCAGAAGGGAGTTTTCCTAATATTTAAACCAGGAATTTCACTTTCGAAACTACTGCACTGCTGTAAGAGGCGAGTAAGAATGTTTTGGTTGGGGAGCCCCTTTAAGAGTAGACTAAAATGAATTTCCAATGATTCATCACTGGCACTGCAGTTTAGACCAAGACTAAGATTAAGCCATGTCCAGGAAACCCTGCATTACTTGATTAATCTTAAAAAAAACTGGTAGATTATTCAAATACTAATACAAACAATAATCACAGCACTAAAACGGTTAGCAATCACTGCTAACAAACTGCAGGAAGCTGTTTAAGCTGTCTGATCTCTGCTTTCCTGCCATTGAATTTAAACCCTACACATTTTCCTAACCTCTCCTTTCCAGGTGACGTCTTGGACATTATGCACCAGATCACGATGGACAGCCTGCTTGAAGGAGTGGACAGAACTAAATATTATCGCTACTTCGGCTCACTGACCACGCCGTCCTGCAACGAAGCCGTGGTGTGGACTGTGTTCAAAGACCCCATCAAAGTCAGCCAAGATCTGGTAGGTCTGTCTGGACGCCTACAGACAAGAAAGTACCAGAGATCAGAGCTTTAAAGCGATAGTTTGTTAGTCAATCAGTCAAGAGAGGTTTGGTGCTGTTAGCTTTGAGCTGGACCTACGAGGCTAATGTAGCTACAAGTAATGGAAGCTTATATCTCACCAGTTAGCCCAGTGCAAACAGCATTCCTAAACCATTACATCACTGCAAACTGGCTGGAGTTGTTAAAGAGGAATATTACTTATTATTCTATATTTATGTTGATGTAAACAGAGAGATTCAGAGTGGTTTGGTGTGAAATAGTGCAGATGTCTTTACAGTGGTGGTGATAGGAACCAGGGGTCGCCATGACTACAACACAAATATAGACATTTTATTTACTATCCAGAACCACCAGTGAACCTACACGAGTCTTCTGAGTTTATATGGAATGTTAATGATGGTAAAATGGTGGAAAATCTGAAAAAACCTCTCTGCTATGAACAGTAAAATACATTTAAGGTTAAAACCTTTTCAAACCACTTAAAAAAGATGGTTCTTCAAGGGTTCTTTAGTAAAGAAAATGGTTCTATATAGGACCATGAACACTCAAAGAACCCTTCGCATGATTAAAGGGTTCTTTGCATCTTGAAATGGTTCTTCAGATTGATGCAGAATGTGCTGTAGATGGTTCTATGTAGAACCAAAAAGAGTTTATTGTTACAAGCTAGTATTGTAACAATAACACAACCCTTTTTGGTATATAGATACTATATACACCAATCAGGCATAACATTATGACCACCTCCTTGTTTCTACGCTCATTGTCCATTTTATCAGCTCCACTTACTATATAGGTGCACTTTGTAGTTCTACAGTTACAGACTGTAGTCCATCTGTTTCTCTGCATACTTTGTTAGCCCCCTTTCACCCTGTTCTTCAGTGGTCAGGACCCCCATGGACCCTCACAGAGCAGGTACTATTTGGGTGGTGGATCATTCTCAGCACTGCAGTAACACTGACGTGGTGGTGGTGTGTTAGTGTGTGTTGCGCTGGTCTGAGTGGATCAGACACAGCAGTGCTGCTGGAGTTTTTAAACACTGTGTCCACTCACTGTCCACTCTATTAGACACTCCTACCTTGTCAGTCCACCTTGTAGATGTAAAGTCAGAGACGATAGCTCATCTGCTGCTGCACAGTTTGTCTCGGTCATCCTCTAGTCCTTCATCAGTGGTCACAGGACGCTGCCCACAGGACGCTGTTGGCTGGATATTTTTGGTTGGTGGACTATTCTCAGTCCAGCAGTGACACTGAGGTGTTTAAAAACTCCAGCAGCACTGCTGTGTCTGATCCACTCAGACCAGTGCAACACACACTAACACACCACCACCACGTCAGTGTTACTGCAGTGCTGAGAATGATCCACCACCCAAATAGTACCTGCTCTGTGAGGGTCCATGGGGGTCCTGACCACTGAAGAACAGGGTAACTAATTTCTTTAGTAAAGAATCCTTGAAGGACCATCTCTTTTAAGTGTGTATCATAAAACAATGTCTCATGCATCAGATCAGGCACTGTATTCATAACAATTTCATGTAATAACTTTCTGTGAAAGAGCTTGTAAAGGTGGACATCTGGTTCCTATCACTGCCAATGTAAACAGTTCTGACTCTGTACGTTTCTCTAGAACGGAGTGTTTCACACCAAACCACTCTGAATGACATTTAATAATACAGGAATTCAACCATCACATTATTGATCTGCAATAAGCTTTTAATAAAACTGCAAGGCAATCGCAATATGTACAGTCGTATGTAAAAGTTTGCGTGGCCCAATGATGTGTTGTTGAAAAGTAGACTCTACAGAGGACACAGTTATGCACACTTTAATACACAATTACTGTTTATTCGAATCGATAGAATCCTCTTTAATCGCTAATAGACTTGCTTATGTGGGACACTGTAAGGTATACTGTTATCTATAAAAGTGGACAAAAGTATGTCACATGGCTAAAGACAGCAGTAGGCGCCTGGATTTTTTTGCACAGTGCTAATTGGTGGGGTATACACTCCCATTACTTGTTAGCTATATTAGCCTTGTAGTTCCACTGCAAAACTAAAGAAGCACCAGACATGTCTTGGCTGATTTGTGCAGAGGTGGGAAAAAGAGTGTAAATGTGATTTACCCCTTTATGTATGATGAACCTGCACTGATTATTCTCTCTGTCACCAGATCAACCTCTTCAGCACGTCCGTGTACGTCAACACAACAACAACAACACAGTCTCTGATCACCAACAACTTCAGAGGAGTTCAGAAACTGAACGGCAGAGCAGTAACGTCCCAGCCTTCATCAGCAACCACACCTTACCAGGCCCTGTCCCTGACCGCTGCTCTGCTGTACTACATACTGTGCTGGTTATAGTTCATGCACAACTACAGGACAGAATCACACATCTTTGCCAGAGGAAGAATGTGTGTTGTTCCCTTTTGGATCCACTGAACAGTTTGAATCAAGCTTAAGTTATTTTTTTGCTTTTGAAGAGTATTTGTGTGGATAAATACATAACGTGTTTATCATTTATGGAATGAGTTCAATAAAGTTATTTTATTAGAATTGGTATCAGTTAATAGTACACTCAGGAGCTGTGTCTGACACAAATAATATGATACATGGCCGTATCCAGTATGCCTTTATATTTTATGGTATTGTGTATTTTCCTGAGTACATATATACACACACACACCATGTACTCATAACTCGTAATACATATGTGTGTGTATATATTAACATACATATATATATATAGATGTGTATATATGTGTATATATATATTTATATATCTATACAGATATATTTATAGATAGACACACACACTATATGGCCAAAAGTATGTGAACACCCTTCTTAGTTATTAGGTTCAGGTGTTTCAGTCACACTCATTGCTAACAGGTGTAAAAAATCAAGCACATAGCCTTGCAGTCCCCATAGACAAACACTTGTCAGTGACTTTAAACATGGCTCTGTCATAGGATGCCACCTTTGTCACAAGTCAGTTCAAGAACTGCTAGAGCTGCCCTGGTCAACTGCAAGTGCTACTATTATGAAATGGAAGCATCTAAGAAAAAACAACAGCTCAGCCACAAAGTGGTAGACCATGCAAACACACATAGTGGTTCCCTCTGAGTCAGGAGCTTCATGAAATGGTGTTTCAAAGGCCGAGCTGCTGCACACAAGCCTAAGATCACTATGCGCAATGCCAAGTGTCGGCTGGAGGGGTGTAAAGCACACCGCCACTGGACTCAGCAGTGGAAACGACCTCTGGAGTGATGATTCACGCTTCACTGATTCGTCTAATGGGTGAATCTGGTTTTTGAGAATGCCAGGAGAACACTACCTACTGGAATGCATGGTGCCAACAGTAAGGTCTGGTGGTTGCACTACATCCTGCAATACCCTGAATGCCCATGGACATATGCAAGGATCCTGTTTGTGGACTTCAGCTCGGCGTTCAACACTATCATCCCAGAAATGCTCTTCTCCAGCTTCTCCCAGCTCACTGTATCCCCGACCATCTGTCACTTATGGTATATGGACAGTCAGCACTGGTGCTCCTCAAGGGTGTCCACTCTCCCCATTGCTGTTCTCTCTCTCTACACCAATGATTGCACCTCTGAGGACTCATCTGTTAAACTCCTGAAGTTTGCAGATGACACTACGGTCATCAGACTCATCCAGGATGCTGATGAGTCTTCATATCAGCTGGAGGTTGAACAGCTGGTGTTCTGGTGCAGTCAAAACAACTTGGAGGTGAGAACGCTCAAGACTGTGGACACCTCTCAGCACTGCTCCCCCTCACGATATCCAACAGCCCTGGGTCAACCGTGGAGATCCTCAAATTTTTGGCAACTATCCTCAAAAAGGCCGAGCCGGGGATGTACTTTCTGCGGCAGATGAGGAAGTTGGGTTGCCACAGGAGCTGTTAAGTCAGTTCTACACCGCAGTCATCGAATCTGTCCTGCGCACAGTCATCACGGTCTGGTTCGGAACCACAAAACAGGACAGGAACAGACTGTAGGGAACAGTAAAGTCTTGGTGCTCCCTGGCCCACCCTCCAGAACTTGTACTCCAGGAAACGGGCAGGGAAGATCATTACAGATTCCTGGACAAAACCTTTTTTCAACTCCTCCCCTCCAGCAAGCGCTACAGAACCCTGTATACAAAGACTGCCAGACACAGGAGCAGCTTCGGGCCATAGCTATAATTATCACACCCTGCTTCAGACTCACAATTACATTCCCATACATAATGTAGATTACTGTTGTTTGCACTACCACACACTGTATATTGTTTGTCCCTACACAGTCTCCATGTTGCCTGTATTGTCTGTAAATAAAATGTACACTGTCTGTATATTATTTGTCCATATATAGTCTGCATGTTGCTTATATACTGTGTATACTGTATATACTGTATACTGTGTGTTGTCTGTAAATTATTTGTACTTTATCTGTCTGTTGCATGTAATACTAAAGAGACACCAATGGCTTGAACCAAATTTCTCGTGTGTGTCAACATACTTGGCCAATACATCTGATTCTGATTCTGAGGAGGAATGATGGGCTGGGGTTGTTTTCCAGGGTTTGGGTCCGTTGGTTCCAGTGAAGGTGATGTTGATGCTACAGCACAAAGACATTTTACACAATTATATGCTTCAAACTTTGTGTCAGCAGTTTGGAGAAGAGCCTTTCCTGGTCCAGCATGACTGAGCCCCAGTGCCCCATGTACATACATTTATGTATACAGAATCCTAATTTTTGCAGGGGCCACATTTTATGTTAATTATTTTCCACAATTTTAAACTCAGCAAATGAACATGAAAATATAACAAAAATACATTCAATATTTCAATGCAAAGTCTATTATATATCACTGTGAACGATATTTACTATGTTTCTCTTCATCAATCTGTAAAGACAATCTGTAAATTGTACAGAACAGTTATGAAAAAAAGAACAATTAGCACCACGGTGGGTCATATGAGCTTTTGCTGGGGTACATCGTGCCTCTTTAAGGGTTAATGCAGTCCCCCCTCTGCACGTTTGGTGTCTGATATTGCACTGCAGCTAGGAGGTGATAGATGGCGCTAGATTAACTGGTAACCTGCTGTCTTTCTGTTTGGCTGTTTTCTGCCACAGATGGAACCTTCAGTGGGTGAGCGGCTGTTCCTGTGGTGCCCTAATGTAACTGATAAACTATTTAAGGTGGAACGGAAAATTCAAATTAGCAATTAACTGAACTAATTTTCTCAAGATCATTTTCTCAGGATAATTAATCTCAAGATATGTAGGAAAACTAAAGCGCACTACCCACTCTGCCCTGTAGATGGCACCAATACGCCATTCAGGCAGTATTCCACTCACTACTATCTTCCCGAGCCCATTTTTCAGGGGTGCTTAAGTTGTGTGTCCATAATTGGAACTGTTCTAGTGGGAAATGACCGCTATATAGCACTTTGTTTTAAAATTGGTCTCAAATACAAAGACATTAAACATGGTTCTTTTCACATGTAATCACTGTGTCTTTTCCAGGTTGGAATGCAGTGAAGCTGTGGTGTGGACTGTATTTAAGGACCCTGTCAGTGGGAGCTGTGACCTGGTAAGTTGTTTTGGTGGCACTTCATGCCACATTGTAATAAATATTTTAATTATGTACCACGGCTGAAAATGTGTGGACACCTATATAAATTTGTCTTTGAACACAGTTCAACTGCAGTGTTTTGTAGTATTAACAGGGCTGCAGCACCTCTTTTAATTCTGTCCTTCTGATTACTCAGACCTGATAATACAGAACTGGTTTTATTGTAGTCTTTTAAACAGGGGATCAGTACGGAGCCCTGCTGGGACATCCGGTATAAATAAACATAATGTGGTGCTGTATTAATGCATGGGAACAAGATCCCACAACTTAGTAAGGTGTGGAAACGAGATAATTAAGTCATGGCCACAACTTAGTAAGATGTGGGAACGAGATCATGTCTTATTAAGCTGTGGTCAAGGCTTATTATCTCATTCCCATGCCTTACTAAGTCATGGCCACGCAATAGGATCCAGTGGTGGACAGTAACGAAGTAAATGTAATTTGTTGCTGTACTTCAGTAGTTTTTTCGTGTACCTGTACTGAAGTTTTTCCATTTTGGGCGACTTTTTACTTTCACTCCACTACATTATGAGAAATCTGTCGCTCCTTTTGGTTTATGTGTGTATAAAAACGTAACATGTCAAATCAAAAGAAGCGCGAAGCAAAAACACCAATCAGGGCACAGCGGTCACTTTGTTTTAAGCTTGTTTTGACCTGTTGGTCATACCGACCCAGTGCAGCACACGGTTCAACATCAGTGCAGCAGCGTAAAATTTTGGGAGAGTCTATTCAACATAAATGATGAACTAACCTAACTTTGTGTAAACAGACCACAATTACTCAAGTGGAGGTCTAAAGGGAGGAACTTCTACTTTTACTGCAGTAATATTTTACCTTGGGTATCTCTACTTTAACTCAAGTACAGGGTTTGTGTACTTCGTCCACCACTGTTAGGATCTAATTCCCATGTCCTACTAAGTCGTGCCCACAAATTAATTATCTCGTTCTTAGCCTTACTAAGTCCTGGCCACGCATTATTTTTATTTATACTGGATATCACTAGAAGGGCTCTGTAGATAGGAATTATTTCAGATATTTATGCTGTAAATGGGATAGTGTACTATTGAGTTCAGTGCTGATGAATCAAACTTCTTAATAAAACTGATTGTTCTCAAGTACTCAGCCTCTTTTCCACTGCAGGGCCGAATGCTTCTGAGCACGGAGGGTAACCGTTCCAGTGGCTTTTCCTTATGGACGCAGTTCAACACGGAATGTTTTAAGCCAAAACTTCAATCTAACACCAATTTCTAAATGTTAAATGGGGCCGCTAATCAGGAGAGAGCAGCTGGTTAGTGTTAGCTTAGCTAGCATGCTGTCAACAGGTTAAAAGTTCGACTTACAAAAACTTTACTGACACAAATTAAGATGATAATGACTCAAATCTGAGGAAGTGAAGTAGAGCGGCTGATGTCAGAGAGACAGAAGGCCAAAAATAAGCCTGTTCTCTGTTGTCTGGAGCCTCCTAGCTAAGCTAATGCTAGACGGCTCCTCTCTCTTAGCTAACTTAGCTTAACTAAAGACGTCCCAGTCACCACAGTTCAGGTTCAATTCGACTAACTGCTTTGCTATCACAAATATAGACGATAAAAACATATGACCGCGAGAGTAAAGTCGACTAACTGGCAGTAAAGTGACAGAAAGCCGAAATCGGCACCTGGAAACCTGTTCTATAGTGCTTAAAGCTGCAGCCTGCTAGGCTAAGCTAAAGCGAGTGCATGTTGCCTCCCACTGCAGTACGGGCTCGGTTCTAGAGAACCAATGATTAAAAACACCCGTTTAGAGGATGAAGGCTCATGTCTGAGATCACAACTTCGAATATCTGGTGTTGAAATGACAGAAAGATGAAAATTAGAATTGTTCTGTGGTGCTTTGAGCTGGACCCCACTGGGTGATGCTGATGCTAGCTTTAGTGTAGTTAGCCAGCTGCACAGTACAGTACAGGTTGTTTCAGTGACAGATAAATAACACCCGTTTATAGGATAAAGAAGATGAGAGCACACAGAGAGAGACTGGTGTTGGAGAGACAGACGGAATGTATGTATTCATATCTATGGGTGGTGTGTGAGTAGCTATTAGCCTGTTAGCAGTTAGCCACTCGTTTAGTTTTCTCCAGTATTTCCTGGTTCTCATTTAGCGGCAAAACAGATGATGAAAAAGAAACCGTAACCGGTCTCACGAGTCCGGACAAGAGCAAAGCGGCCCAGCACAGCCCTGAGAACCATTTGGCTCGACAGTGGAAATGAGGCCCTTGTTTGGTATTTAAGGCTACACTAGTTGAGGGAAGTGCTCAGGTTATTTGGTCATATTTAAAGAGGCATTTCACTAAATCTTCTTAAAATGAAATGTTTAAGATATGAACGGTCAATCAGAGTAGTTTGACATGAAATGGCTATGAATGTTGCCTGATGTCTAACATTGTTTCACAATTATTTCCTCCTTTTTTTTCCCCCAACCTTGCGCAAGAGTGCGTGCAGGATGCTGTAAGGCCAAATACCCTGATAGCGAGAGGACAGTGGTCCACTGTCGGCCTGCTAATGGCAAAGCTGGCGGTCCACTGGCGGTTTGCTCGGCGTTATATGCTTGCTGTCTGGGTAGTTCCAAAAGCATATTTGGACAGTAAATAAGACATGCAGCCAGGCCAACTTCCGTCCAATGAACACTGGGATAGGCTCCAGCTCCCCCCACGAACCAGAAGGATACTCAGAAGATGAATATATGATAGTAGAGTATGTTTATATTTTCAGTGTGAGCATCCCTGAAATACAGCAGTTAACAGGCAGTCAGTATTTTTATGTCTGGCAATAACTACTACAAGGTCTTATTCAAGCTCATGAACATGGGTTAATGACACATTCTTCAGAATACAGGATACATACTGTGTTGACTCCATTGACATTTTCTGAAGGAGGGCAGAAATTATTGCGACTGTAAAAGGCAAAGCTGTTGTGGCGTTAGGTAAATGAATACGACCTGATCTACAGTTAGTAAGCACACTGTAACTTTGAAAAGCATGCTGGAGGATGCTTTTCCTGTCAACTCAGTATATTGCAGCTGATGTCCTGGGCTGTCCATTCTGCTGTTGTGCCCAGTACTGCACGTACGCCACCATGGAAAATGATTCTAAACACATAATCTGTGTGGTAAATATTGATGAGAGAGAAACATTAAGGAATTCCATCATAATGAAAAAGCATAACTTCATAACAACACTTTATCAGCCGCTCTCTGAGGTCACCCTGAAGGACATATACACAGATGCCCATGTACAGAGAGCCGCCCTGAGGAGTGTTTTACTACTGTGTGTGTTTTGCTGTGCTGAATGAACTTTACAAAGGCAAGTGGAAGGATGCAGGTGTTGCTAAATCGTCCTGAAGGTCTTCTGCAGTCAAACAGGGGTTTTGATTTGCCTCTCAGGCAGTTCTCTTGGAAAGTTTTCTTGGTCTTCCAGACCTCAGTTTCACTTCCAATGTTCCCATTAACTGCCATTTCTTAATTACATTATGAACCGAGGAAACAACTACCTTAAAATGCTTTGCTGTCTTCTTATAGCCTTCTCCTGCTTTGTGGGCATCAATTATTTTAATGTTCAGAGCATGGGGCAGCTGCTTAGCTGCTGATTTTTGGGACAAGGTTTGAGGAGTTAGATAAAAGAGCTTTGAAAGTGAAGATGCGAAAGACCTAACAGGCTGATTAAGGTCTGAGACCTTGGTAAAAGTTATCTGAGAGCTCAAATCTCTCTGGGTGCCAAAACTTTTGCATGGTGCTCCTTTCCTTTTTTCACTCTGAAATTGTACAAAACAAAAATAATGGACTAATCTCGCTTAAAATGTTGAAAAGAATGTTTCCTCTTTATGCTTTTTGGAAATCAGTTCATCTTCTACTCATATAACTGTGCACAGTAACAGAAATTTTGACCAGCAGTGGCCCAACTTTTGTCTGCCACTGTACACATATAGCGCGTATTTATAGGTAGATCCCAACAAAAAACTGCAGGTAGGATATTTTGATCGCGTAAATCATCTTATCAGGGGCAAGAATTAATATCAAGCCAGGTCTGAACAAAACACAAAGTAAAACTGAATTAATATTAAAAACACAATAAAATGTTTAGAGGTTAGCTAGTTAGGTGAGGTAGGACTGCTCGGGCAAACCAGGCTCATGCTTTTGATGTAGCAGAGAAACCAGAACTTAGGTAACTTGTTGTACATACAGTGGAAGAATGTGAAACTCTCTTTAGAGCAGTTTAGACCCTCTGTACCTGGTTGTAGCTCTAACCATTCAGTGTCACCTGGACAAACACTTTTTGAAAGGACATAGTGCCAAACACTTGACTTCAGATACTGCTACATCAGTAATTATTCAAAGAATCTTTTCTTTCCCTTACTATTCCATCAATTTTCAGAATCTTTATCACATTAAGGCATTTTTTAGACTGCATTGTGCCAACTGTGAAGCATGGTGGAGGTAGTATGTTAATAATATTGTTTAAAAATGTATCAGTTCAGAGGTGACTTTTATAGATTTACCAAAATACTAAAAGAAAGAGATGATTCCACTCTCAAGGTAAGAAATGTTCCAATATGACAATGATTCTAAACACACTGCAAAACGCACACAAGCTTTTAAAGAAAAAAAGTATTTTGCGTTACTTATGCTTGGCATTGTGCTTGGTGATGTAAGGCTTGCATGCAGCTGCCCAGCCATGGAAACCCTGCCATGAAACTCCCAGGACAGTTTTTGTGCTGATGTTGATGCCAGAGGAGGTTTGAACTCTGCAGTTATTGATCAGCAGAGTGTTAGAGACTTTTATGCTCTATGCTCCTCAGCACTCGGTGACCCGCTCTTTAACTTTATGTGGTCTGACACATCATGGCTGAGTTGCTGTGGTTCCTAAACGCTTCCACTTTTCAATAATACCTCTCACAGTTGATCGTGGAAAATCTAGGAGGGAAGACATTTCGAGAACCGAACATCTTTGCTTGCAAAGACTGAGTCTTTGGTTCATGCTTCTTTTATACCCAATCATGATACCCTAACTTATTTCCAGTTCACTGCTTATTGTGGAATGTGTTAAAATGGAGTAACGTGAATATTCGATAAACATTTCACTATTATTTTGCCCATCTCAACTTTTTTGAGTGTGTTAAAGACATTAAATTCGAAATTTGTTTATATTTACAAAATACAATCAAGTTGGTCAGCCAAAAAACGGTCAGACAAAAGTCATTTCTTTGCACTTTGTCAGTTCAAAAAAGGTTCAAGAAAATTAACAAATCACAGATTCTTGTTTTAATTGCATTTTACAAACAAGTTGTTCCAACTTTTCAGGAAATGGGGTTTGTATTTATAAGCGTTTATTAGCCATATGCTATCGTATCACATCTATGCTTACTGTAAATAACGGAAATAATCAAACTCGCTCCAGTGACTGGGTCACCCTTCAGGCGCCTCAGATAAAATCTGCTTTTAGCTACAACCAGCTGGAAAACATTACAGGACACTCTGAAGCTCAGGTCAGCTGGGGTCACTCGAACATTTTAAACTTTTAATCTTTAACCACCTCCACTCAGCCTGCAACTCATATGTTGATATGTCAACTGATCTGTTCCTATGTTCTACCTTTACTTCAGTGTTCATAATTTCAGTCCTTCTTCTGTTTTAAAGCTCGGCTTCGTTGCAAATGAGGGTCACCCTCAATGTACTCTGAAAAAAACGGATATCTGTGCTTTTATCTAATGCAGATCAGCCACTGCAGAGAAACCAGGTCTCCTGTAGAACATAGCTGTGATCTAATAACTAGGCCATGCTGCACCATAACGCCTTCTCCTAACATGTGAACATTCACATGTACTATTAGATTACGTTTCTACTTGTTGGTCAAGTCAAAATGGAAATAAACTGGACATATCAGCCAATAGCTAGAAACTTCTACTACAAATCGGGGGTGTCTTATCTACGTCCCACACAATGACAGATGCTGACTTCTGAACTTTATGCTGGTAACAATCTGGATGGTCCTTTTCTTCTTGGCCTGGAGAACATGACGCTCATTATTTCTATAAACTAAAAGGTTGACTCGTCAGACCGCAGTACACATGTCCACTGTGCCTCAGCCCATGTAAGATCAGCTCGAGCCCAGTGTCTGTTTCTGGACGTTGTTGACATATGGCTTACACCAGGGGTGCTCAGTCCTGGTCCTGGAGATCTACCACACTAGAGAGTTCAGATCCAACACACCTGGCCTTCATATTCAGATGCTCCTGAAGGCCCTCATTACCTGGATCAGGTGTGTTTGATTAGAGGTGGAACTAAGCTGTGCACGGTGGTCGATCTCCAGGACCAGGATTGGGCACCCCTGGCTAACACTGTGCATAGTACAGTCTTAACTTGAATTTGTGGATGCGGCAATGGTTAGTCAAAGGGTTCTCGAGCCCATGTGGTGATCTCCATCACAGAAGCGGGCTGGTTTTTAATGCAGTGCCGTCTGAGGGATTCGAAATGACTAGCGATCAGTTGTGGTTTTCAGCCTTGCCCTTTATGCACAGAGATTTCTCTGGATTCCCTGAATCTCTGATCATATTACCCACAGTAGAGGGTGACATTCCTAAAATCCTTGCAGTTGCTCATTGAGTAACACTGTTCTTAAACTCTCACATTATTTGCTGAAGTGACAAACCTTGACCTACTCATAAAGGACTCGGCCTGAACGCTCCTTTAATACATGCATGATTGCATTGTCTGTTTAAGATGTTTTTTCAACATTTCACAATGTTTCTAGTCTTACACGGACCATTTCTGGAATGTGTTGCTGGCATCAATTCAAAATATAAGCATATATTTACAAAAAACAATGAAATTGGTAAAGTGAAACATTAAATATTTATTCATTGCACTGCTTTTGTTTAATTGCAGGTCAAAGTGGATTTACAAATTGCTGTTTTCTGTTTTTATTTGTGTTTTACATACCTTCCCAACTGCTTTGGAACTGAAGTTTGTTAAAGAAGAATATGCTAATAAATAAGAAGTTATATAAAAACATGTTTGTGTTTGTAGAACAAAAAAAATCAGAAACCAGAAGGGTGGAAGGGTAAGCAGTCCCTGCTAGTTATTATGCGCTTCAATAAATATGTCAGACACCTCAATTTCTGCGTCGTAATGCTTACAGTAAATTCTAAAGACAACCATTCATTTATTTAATTTCCAGTCAAAAGTTATTCATTCATTATTTTCACAGATTAAAACTAGCAATATTTTTTAATTTGCCTTTTTTTCCACATGAAAGTCAAGCCAGTCATATTTTTACATTTGAATTGTTTTTACAGATGAAAACATCAAGCTGGTCATATTTAAATTTATATTATTTTCATAGATGAAAAAGTCAAGCTAGTCATATTTTTAAAATTGTGCTATTTGAAGATTAAATAATGAGCCGGGGTGCCTGACTTTTTGCACAGTAACATACATAAATTTACCTCAAACACATGTAAAAGTTACTCACATTTAGTGACATGACAATTTTCAGATTTTTACAGGTTGACGAGAAATGACTAAATGCCCTACTGGTTACCTTGTTGAAGTGTGTTTGGTGCTGGAACAGAACAAAAATGTGGACTGGCTCAAGACTGGACTAAACCCCTGGTCTTAGACAGCAGATCTGGCCACACATGGACAGTAAAGAAGCTTCAATCAGCCCAAATGAATTTTACTATAAAGCAGAGAGTCTCATGTGGAATGAAGTGGGCGGATGCAGATCTGTGTGACTGTGAACTAATAAAGAGAAATTCAAAAGACCTGTAGGGTCAGTGACACGCCCCCATCCTCCCAGCCATAATAAAGCAGAGAACGAGGGTCATTAACAGTGTCTGCTAGACTACAGAGCTGTCAACATCTCTGCTCAAAGGTAAGTTCACTGTCTATTTTCTGGAGCCTAAATCAGAGCTCCAAATATTTAATCATACAAAAGTCAAACTGGCTGATATTTTTAATTTTTATCTCATTTTCACATAATTTTTTCTGATTGAAGTCCAGCTTATTATATTTTTAAGTGTCTTATTTTTACAGATGAAAGTCAAGCCAGTCATATTTTTCAATTTGTATTATTTTTATAGATAAAAGTCAGGCTAGTTATAGTTTTAATTTTGTAAGACATTTATAGCTGAAATTTAGGCTAGTCATTTTTATTCTGTAATATTTTTACAGATGAAAATCGAACCAGTCATATTTTTAATTTTGTAATACGCTAGTAATATTTTCAGTTTTGTGTTATTTTTACAGATGAAAATGTCAAGCTAGTCATTTTAAAAATTTGCATTATTGTTACAGATGAAAGTCCAGCTAGTCATATTTTAAGTTTTATGATACTTTTACAGATAAAAGCCCAGCTAATCATATTTTTAATTTTTAGTATTAATTTTACAGATGAAAGCCCAGCTAGTCATATTTTTTATTTTTTGTAATAACTTTACAGATCAAAGCCCAGCTAGTCATATTTTACATTTTCTCATTTTATTATTACAGATGAAAGCCCAGCTAGTCATATTTTTATTTTTTAGTAAAAATTTTACAGATGAAGCCCAGCTAGTCATAATTTCATATTTTGTATTAATTTTACAGATAAAAGCCCAGCTACTTATATTTTGATTTTTGTGTATTAATTTTACAGATGAAAGCCCAGCTAGTCATATTTTAATTTTTGTGTATTCATTTTACAGATGAAAGCCCAGCTAATAATATTTTAATATTTTGTGTTAATTTTACAGATGAAAGCCCAGCTAATAATATTTTAATATTTTGTGTTAATTTTACAGATGAAAGCCCAGCTAGTCACACTTCTTGCTGCCTGTCTGCTTCCCACTGTTCTCAGTGAGGGCTCCACTGTGGGTGAGTCACGTTCAATATTTACTGTTCTCAATATTGTTTATAATAATTTGCCTCCAGTTATTTATTCATTATTTAAAGTTAAGATGATATTAAGTTTTCTTTCGTGTGACCTCAGTTCTGATCTTTTTCAGAGTGGTGTTATCACCTGCCGTCCTGCAGTAAGTGATTACTTTTCCTCTCCTAAACGACACCAACATGTTTTTCCTCAGTTGTACTGACTGCACATGTGAAAGTGGTCAGTGACTGTAATCAATATAATCAATGTAAACTGCTCTAAGTTAGTAGCTGTGTGGGCTTAATACAAACAGGCTACTGGGCTTTGTTCTCCTGTCCGATCTACTTTACTAATTTTCATAGATTACACCACATGGCCAACTAAGATACCCCACCACTGCAGCGGCGACCATCAGTCTCCCGTCAATATTGTGACTGATAAGGTCCAGGAAGATCCCAGCCTGACCGCCTTCAGTTTCACTGGGTTTAATGACAGCTCTGCACTCTTGTATATAAAAAACGCAGACGGAAAGTCAGGTGAGCGTTTCTGCTGTTGATGATAGCTGCACAGTTTGGGTTAGTCATTCTCTGGTCCTTCATCAGTGGTCAGTTTCTGGCCACAGGACACTGTTGAATGAATATTTTGGTCAGTGGACACTACTAGCATCACTATAATGCCAGTGTCACTGCTGAGAATGACCCACCACCCAATGATACCTGGTCCTGTGGGGGTCTTGACCACTGATGAACAGGTTAAATGGGTCTAATAGATGCAGAGAAACAGATGGACTACAATCTGTAGTAGTAGAATGTGCACATATCTGAGTAAAAGGACTTTCCTCATGAATATGGAAGTAAAATGATCATCTGAAAACATTGATAAATGTACACATTCAGCAAACTTGTGCTTCAGTAACAGTAACTGAGTTAGTGGCTAATTCCCCCCAGGTACTCTGAGGTTGAGACTGCTGGCTTGACCTCCTAATATCAGACAATAATTTCAGCTGTTTCTTTGCCTCTGAAGTGACGGTTTCCCTGGATGACAGTAAGATGAGCGTGTCAGGAGGGGGTCTTCAAGGCCACTACAAGAGCAAGCAGTTCCACCTCCACTGGGGCAACGGCAGCTCTTCAGCTGGATCAGAGCACACAGTGAACGGCAAACGATATCCAATGGAGGTGAAAGAAACACTGCTGTAAAAACGCTACTGAGATTTAGAAGATCATCTAACTTAATAAACAAACTTTCTCTTTCTCTCTCTCAGCTGCACATAGTAAACACGAAGTCCACTCATCCCAACACGACCGTCGCTCTCGAGGACCCAACAGGATTGGCTGTTCTTGGTTTCTTCATTGAAGTAAGACTTTGTTGGTTTTCTGGTGTTGAAAAAGCATTAGCTGAGTGTAGGGCTGGGCGATATGACTATAAATATTGTTATTGTGATAAATTGTGTCAATACAATATGCATTTCTGAACATATATGTGTATATTGTCAGTACTTGTAGACACTGACCAACTGCATGTTTCATTACAAACAGAGCAAAATTAGCCCCGTTTAACTGGATTTTTTGCAACATGATATGCCAAATACTGATGGGGTAATTGGGGTGCAAAAGTTTATGGATCGGCCTTATATTATGACAATAGAAGTCTATTAGTAACACCCTATTAACCATGTAGTATGTCATAGCAACCACCAGCAATGACCTAGCAACCATCTGGGACACCATAGCAACCACAGAGCAACACCCTAGCATCTACCTGGGATACCATACCAACCCCCTAGCAACATCTCAGCAAGCTTAAGCTGCACAATCGCTCTGCATTTTCTTCAAGAATTGCATTTTTCGAGTTATTATATTTTGTTGTTTATCTTCAGGCAACCAGTGACAGCGGCAAACCGGAGATGTGGAAGAACCTGACCTCGTTTCTGTTGAAGATTTCTAGAAAAGGTACAGCTCCAGGTTTTTGTGCAGTGCAACTGAGTAATAATGCATTCACACATTATTCATTTCCACCACAATGAAATACAGCTAAAAAACATGGTGGTGGCAGTTAACTGTGCAATTCTCCAGAAACTTTTCAAGTTTTGTGATCACTAGTTTGACCCCAAGGAGGTTTGTGTCTACTGTTCCATTTACACCAACTTTCATTCTGCTTTATTCCCTCGAAATGCTAAAACAGCTTAAGACTGTCATCAGTACACCTTACACTAAACCCAGGTACATTATTAATTACTTTTCTCAAACTGTTTTCAATTTTCTGTTCCACCTTGGTGCTGTGGTAAAATTCCTTGTATGGTCAAACGAAAAACAGTCAAAGTACACAGCAACAAAATATTACATTACATTAACATATGAGGCATTAGAAACATGACTATCCAACATACATTACCTGACTGCATCATTCATGCTGCTGCACAAATATTTTTCTTTGTTAAAGTTAAAGAATTATACAGCTAGCTAAAATAAATGAACAAATTAATGAAAAGCAAGCAGCCCACCCCAAACTGTCCAGCCTGAAGCAATAGTGGTCTTTTCAAAATGGACGCCCACCTTCAAGATACGTCATCAGAAGGGAATAATATTTAAACAGGAATTTCACTTCAGAAACTACTGCACTGCTGTAAGAGGCGAGTAAGAATGTTTACAACATACATAGTAGTTGGTTCAATTTTTCATTTTGGTTGGGGAGCCCCTTTAAGACCAGACTACAAAGAATTTCCAATGATGATTCATCACAGACAGTTTAGACCAAGACTAAGATGAAGCCACGTCCAGGAAACCCTACATTACTTGATAAACCTTAAAAAACTGGTAGATTATTCAAATACTAATATAAACGACAATAACAGCTCTAAAACAGAAACAATTGCTTCAGCCATCTAATCTAATCTTTGCTTTCCTGCCATTTCGTTTAAACATTACACTTCATTTCTTGACTTCTCAGCACCTCTTGTTTTCTTTCCAGGTGACGTGGTGGACATTAAGAACCATATTACGATGGACAGTCTGCTTCAAGGAGTGGACAGGACTAAATACTATCGCTACCTCGGCTCACTGACCACGCCGTCCTGCGACGAAGCCGTGGTGTGGACTGTGTTCAAAGACCCCATCAAAGTCAGCCAAGATCTGGTAGGTCTGTCTGGACGCCTACAGACGAGAAACAATCAGAGATCAGAGCTTTAAAGCGATAGTTTGTTAGTCAATCGGCCAAGAGAGGTTTGGTGCTGTTAGCTTTGAGCTGGACTTACGAGGCTAATGTAGCTACAAGTAATGGAAGCTTATATCTCACCAGTTAGCCCAGTGCAAACAGCATTCCTAAACCATTACATCACTGCAAACTGGCTGGAGTTGTTAAAGACATGTTTAGGCTGATTTGTGTTGAGGTGGGCAAATGGGTGTAAACGTGATTTTTCCCTTTATGTATGATGAACCTGCACTGATTTATCCTCTCCACCAGATCAACCTCTTCAGCACCACCATGCACGTCAACACAACAGCCCAGCCTCTGATCACCAACAACTTCAGAGGAGTTCAGGCACTGAAAGGCAGAGTCATAAAGTCTCAGCCTTCATCAGCAACCACACCTTACCAGGCCCTGTCCCTGACCGCTGCTCTGCTGTACTACATACTATAGCGTGTTCAAGAAATGTTAGCTTACGTTATTAGTTCTTCAGCATTTATTCAAGAGGTTATTCTGCTAAGGACTCTTATTGTGAAGGCGGGGATAGTTTTCCCCGAGGTGATATGTGTGTGGAGCAGGAAGAGCCGAGACCAGTCGAGAGCTGAGGACTGAGAGAATCAGGTGTAGCTGAGGCTGTTAGAGAAAAGCTGAGCTTGTGTACGGTGTGGCTGTGGCCGCCAACAGCTGGTTAATAAAGCACCATGACTTGTGTTACTAACAGTACATGATACAATACTGTCTTGAATATAGTTAATATACGATGACGGGACAGAATTCATCTTTGCACAAAGGACAGCATCTTTATTTCCACTGAACAGTTCAATTAAGTTTAAATTATTGCTCTGCTTTGATGAGTGTGTGGACAAAACATGAGACATTTGGTGACGTGTTTATCATATATGCCATAAGTTGAATAAAGCTTTTATTATAATTTGTATCTGCTAGAACTTGATCTACACTGGCTGTTTCTGACACACCTAATATGATACATAACTGTATGCCCCTATATTTTATAGGGGTACATACGCTATATGGCCAAAAGTATGTGGACACCCTTCCTAGTTATGGAGTTCAGTTGTTTCAGCCACACCCATTGCTAACAGGTCAAGCACATAGCATACGCAAGGTTATGGTTATATGCTGGGTTATTGGTTATATTCTAGCGTGAGTGAAACGGGGGCCTAGAATTGATCTGCCCATAACATAGATGGTAAGACTTAAGGCTCAAATCGCTGTTGCGGATTGTGAATCAGTGACTAAGAATGTGACGACAAATTATGAAGAGAAATTAATTTAGCACAGTTTTAATAAAGTATAAAAGCTACAATGTACAGATTTATTGTACAGTTCAGGTTCAGTAAAGATTTGATGAATCAAACTTCTTAATAAAGTTGATTTTTCCTAAAAAAAAGTGTCTTTAAGGCCCTTTTAAAATTGTCTGCATAATTAAATGGTTCAGATGTAAACAGAGAAACAGAGACGCTCTGTTGTAGAGAAACTTACAGAGTCAGAATTGTTCACAGTGGTGGTGATAGGAACCAGACGTCCACCTCTAAAAGCTCCCTCACAGAAAGTTATTATATAAAATGGTTATTAATTTGCTGCCTGATACAGTAGTTTTGGGAAGATTTAGGGTCTCACATTTTTAAAATTTGTTCCTGGTGGAGGGATACATGCAGGGTGTTGTGAGGCAAAATAGTCCCTAAAGAACTGACTTCACCATCATCACATGTAAAACTCAGGTATGTTCACTGGTTGTTTTGAATGGTGTTTATAAAAAAGAAAAAAAAAATGAGTGGACCTTTTGGATCCTGTCGTTACCACTGTACAGAAATAAAACACCAAACCACAGAAATATGCAGACGTTTTAGAAAAATTGGTGGATTTCCCCTGTAAATAGCTATGTTTAAAGCTGCCCATTCACTTCATTACGCTCCAGTTAGTGATCAATCATGAGAAGAATCAGTTTTTTTCAAAAGTAATAAACCCTCTGCTGTAATTTCCATGTGCTGGTCATAACGGCCTCACATGGGCAGGGTTCCTTTTGCGGTCACCTGTCAGTGCCACCCAGCTGCTTGTGAGTGTTATGAAATCTAGTCACACATCGTGGTTTCCTGCACAGATCAGTGTCAAAATCAAACTGCAGCAGTTTCAGGATTTAGTGTAGCCAGATGTAGGAGTTCCTTCCAGAAGAGCTGACATCACCACTGACCACCTGACTGGTGGCAAAGCTGTACACCCTTATAATGGTTCTTCAAGGGTTCTTTAACAAAGGCAGAGGTTGTGCCTGTATATCAACCTGAATACTCAATAACTCATCTGAGTGTGTAAAAGGTTCTTTCCATGGTTTACTGGTTTATTGTGGAAGACCTGTTGTGTATGTGGTTCTTTAAAGCAGTCCTTGCCCCACTGGTCACTCATTTCCCTTGATAAACGATTTCTCACCAGAACCTTGTCCATTTTGCTGGCTTTCTCCGCAGCTATCGCCGACCTGGCATGCCACTGTTTTATGACTGTACAGATAAACTCCCTGTGATGTGCTGGTTGGCTGTAAACTGTGACTGACTGGCACTATTTTGAACTTTAATAATGTTTCATAACATCTAATATTTTTAAAACAAGCCATGTGTTTCTAGATTTGGCCAAATCAGATTTAATAAACTGACAAATTTACAACTTGAGCTACACCTTCATTTTTTCTACAGTCCCCAGTTTGAAAGACACTGCTTTAAAGAACCTTTATTAATGGTTTTATGTAGAACCAAACAGGGTTCTACTATTAAGTTATAAAAGTTTTTTGGTCCTGTATAAAACACTTCAGGCTGAGTGTGGAGGGCTGTTTACCACCAGCTGAATTTTACAGGAAGATGACAAAGACAGTGTGGAAATGTATAGATTAACAGCTGTTCAAAAGGTCCATAATGGTGAAAAGCAAAAAGAGAAACGATAGAATTGGTGGATTTTAAATCAAGAGTCAGCAGCAGAAATGGGACAACATCATTCTCAACATGTATTCAGAAACTCAGCCTTACACTGAAAGGATTAAAGGCCCGAATAACTGAAAAACACATTTTCCATACTTTTAAAGAGGCTGATGTACAGAAACAATGTTCATTTAAAACGTACTGTCCACTCTCCAGACCATAGTCCATTTATAAAACTTAATCTGGAGAAACAGGTGTCTTCAGTGTTTTTGTGAGGTCATGAAAACCAAAACATTTACAAATTTTCACCTACAGTAGTTTTAACAGCAAAGCGCCCAGATTAGAGGATGGCAAGTCTTTTATTACCAAATTCTGCTGATAATAAGTTACTTTTATTATGAAACCTTCAGCAGAGTGCATAGTTATTTATTGATAAAAACAAATTCTGCATAGGAATATTTAACAGGTTGTTCTTTTTCCTGAAAAGAAGCAGAGAATAGAACCTTTAAAGGTACAATGCATGAATTAAAAAGATGGTTTCACCAAAAAAATCTAATTTACACAGGTTTCTTCTGTTCACCCCACATGAAGTCAACCAGCCGAGACATGCTTGGTGTCTGAAGTTTGCTTCTTCAGAGCTGTGAGGTTAATGTAGCTGGGTGATTCCATGTTGGGGCTGCCATTTGTGCCCCACGTTTACAGACGTTTATGCAAAGACAAAACATTTTAAACACAAATAAACACCATATGTGCATGTTTCAGATACATAACTTAAAAATATTAATAATATCAGCACTTTACCTTCAAATAGAATCATTAAAATAAAAATCTTATTTAGCAAGAAATAAATGCATAAATAAAGGGTGAAGATGTAAACAGAGTCATTCAGAGTGGTTTGGTGTGAAACGCTCTGTTCTAGAGAAACTTACAGAGTCAGAACTGTTCACAGTGGTGATGATAGGAACCAGACGTCCACCTCTAAAAGCTCCCTCACAGAAAGTTACTACATGAAATGGTTGTAATAGTTTTAGAAAAACTTCTTTTTAAAAATCTATGCATGGTGGAGGGATACATGCAGGGAATGTTTTTTTTTCGGATTATTTCAGATTTTCCACTGTTTTCCCATCATCAACAATCCATATAAACTCAGGAGACTCCTGTAGGTTCACTGGTGGTTTTGGATAGTAAATAAAATGTCTATATTTGTGTTGTAGTCATGGTGACCCCTGGTTCCTATCACCACCACTGTAAAGACATCTGAACCATTTCACACCAAACCACTCTGAATGATTTAGATTTTAAAGACTTAATTGTAAAGAAATTTGGAAACATTGATGGAATTCCCCTTTAAGATAATATCGGTTAGATTCAGTGTTTAAAAAATATAAAAATAAAGGTTTCTTTTTAAGAGCTACAAGGGCTAAATGGTGCCACAAGTGATGGAAGCTTATATCCACCCATTCACCAATAAGCGCTGTGGAAACACCATCATCATGTACTTCCCTCAAACTGCATTCGGCTGTAAGTTAAACTAACAGCTGATGTGTAGAAGTAGCAAGTAATGGGCCTTTTTTCTTCAAAGAATGAAACAAACAAGTTATTATATCGTCACACCCTCAAAACTAATAATAAATATGCTTGCATGGTTTCTGACACTGTTATCTATAAACATGGACTAAAGTACACTGCATAGCTACAAACACTAGCAGCTGTTTTGCATTAATTTTGTCTGCACTTTTGTCCATTTTCATATTTGTAAATGTTGTATTGATGTAAACAATGTCTTGCATTATGTGTAAATCTGAATGTGTTAACAGTCAGCTGAGGTCGAGTCTGGACTAAATCAGCTGACTGACGCACTGCAACAGTATTACAAGTGGGACGAGTATCAGCCGTGAAGGTGCAGTGAATTTTGGGGCTGCGTTGAAGTCACAGTTGCACTCTCCTCCTCCTGAGCGTGGCTTGTATGATGGGGTAGGCGCTGGCGCAGGACAAAGCATCCAATCAACTGCAGTTGATTTGGGAGTGATGACCCCCTGGTCCAATCCTCCACTCTTTACAACCCAGTAGGAGTTGTCCTTGAAGAAATATGTGTCTCTGGCTGTGGAGAAATACCACATGAATTAGCATATTATCATGAAATGCAGTTCATATTGATAATCATGCTGACCAATCACAGCATCCTGGCCCAGATGAGCTTCTGTGGGGGTTCTGATAAATCACTGTATTCATGTAATCCAGCAAAAGTACAGTATTTTGGTCAGAATAACGCAGGCCAGTCTTAAAAATGTCTACACAATACAGAGGTTGAGAAACTTTACAGTGGTGGTGATAGGAACCAGAAGTCGCCATGACTACAACACAAATTTTATTTACTATCCAAAACCACCAGTGAACCTACACGAGTCTTATATGGAACGTTGATGATGGTGAAATAGTGGAAAATCAGAAAATATTAAGTTTTCTTTGCCTCACAACACCCTGCATGTAAGCCTCCACCATGAATGTGTTATAATATAAAATGTATGTAAGTTTTAGGCCAAACGTTTCTCTGAAAACTCTTGTAAAACGGAGCGTTTCACACCAAACCACTCTGAAAGACTCTGTTTACATCTTAACCATTTCATTATGCAGAAATGTAATCATGTCACATTATTGATCTGCCAATACGCTTGTAATAAAACTGTAAGGCAATCGCAAAATGTACTGTCATATGTAAAAGTTTGGGTGGTCCAGTGATGTACTGTTGAATTTGTAAGTCCCATCCTTTACAGAGAAAACACTTCTGCACGGTTTAATGCACAATTACTGTTTATTTGCTAATTTAACTGTAATTTTAATACATTTGGGAAAAATAAAATTGAAAATGTAGACTGTGCAAAAGTTATGGCACATTTTATATTTTGATATATTTTTAAAATTATGTTAAGCTCAGAAAATAAGTAGAAATTGTGTGCTAAAATTTAACATTTATTTTCACTTCAAATCAACAAAATATGCCACTGGAGCTATTCAGACGTTTGCATACAACTCGTAGCAATACAGCCACAATACTGGTATTGTATTCATATCCTGCAGCTCGAATTCAGCATAGTTTAATATAAAAGCTTACCTTGTCCCCAACTTATGACATCATCAGGGTTGCTGGGCATGCCCTTCCACAGTGAGACACTTTTTGGGTAGTCTGCATCCGGCTGTGGCACTGCCCCTCCCTGACCTTCAGTGAACCTCCAGAATTCTCCACCACTGAACAGGTACGTCTTCCCGTTATGAGCCCAAACAAACGCCGACTCTACTTTGTTCACCACACCCCCGCTCTGAGACCTCATGCCCCACTCTGACACGGGCCGGGGGTAACCACGCAGAGCCCTTGTGTCCTTGAATATCCAGTAGTTTGAACCTAAAAGGGAGGACAGACATATAAACGGACCACCGAAACAGACACTACGCAAGATAAACCAGAGCCTGTGACGGCGATTTTGCCTGAATGGAGCTACTTTGCATGGAGAAGTCAATCCCACTTACTAGACACAGCTGTACACAAAAATTTGTTGCTTTTCTAACTCATCTTCTACAGAGAACACACTCACATTTTAATCCACAATTTCTATTCATTTACTGAGTTTAACAACTCCACCATATCTTTTCAGACTGTCGGTACTGCAACGATTTGACTCACATTTTATTTGCTGAAATTAATATACTGGGGGGAAAATTAAACAGAAAATGTGGCCTTTTTATTTTTTCCAATATGTCATATTTAAGTGTGTTCTCTGTAGAGCAGGAGTGTCAAACAGAACCACTGAAAGCACCATAATAAAAAAAATATAAAAAATCAACATATTTAATTTTTTAAAAACATTTTGCGATAAACTGAACTGGCCATCGTTTATTCAAAATATGCCAAACCTTCAACAGCAAAATATATGTACTTGTAGTAGATCTTAAAATATTACATGAATACTAGACATTCTATACTAGATACTAGTATCACAGGAAGAAGAGCCTGGGTTCGATTCCCTCACCAGGGAGTGTTTATAGTGTTTATACTGGTTAAACTGCAGCTGAAACGCAGCTAGTGTGTTTGGTGAAATGACTGGTGTGGAATTGTGGTGTTTCTAGTGTCCCATAGATGCAGTGCATTGAGAACTGAGCTAAGATCAATAGAAAATTACAATAATTTCACAGGCCGGATAGGTTTGTGCTGCGGGCCTGATCTGAAAACCAACAAGTTTGACTGGGGGTGTTCAAATTTTTGAAATTTGTACCTGCAAAGTGCGCTTCCATGGTAGGTGTATCTGATAACCTGGCCAATCAGAGTAAGTACAAGGCACGTTTACCTAATAAACCAGCAACCTGTAAGCTTATACAGGCATTTAGAAAGGTAGCAGAAGGTTCAGTCTTTCCCTATTTCCTCAGTATGTTCTTACTCCAAGCATATGCTGCTGGTGGTGTTCTGGAACTTCTTGTAGAAAACTGAATGCTTGTTTGACTTATAATGCAAAAGATCCAATACTTATTGATTTGTTGTTCTCAGAGCTAAAAAAAAAGTAAACATTTTGACAAAGTGGTGAACCTTCCCTTTAAAAACACATAAAAACAGTTCTTACACTGGGCTTGATAAACAGTACAACTCTAGCACTGCATTGCTCTTACTAACCAATGAAGAAGATGATGTGGCTATCAGTCTTTGTCTCGTAAACAGCATCGATCTTGTTGGTGTCACGCGGCAGCCCCATCCAGAAGTTGGTGATACGAGCCGGAGAGAAGGACACTAAAGAACCAGTGTGCTGCATTCTCCAGAAATATGGCCCTGATATCAAAAACAGCAGAAACAGAGGATGCTGTTTGAGTGCTTTGAAACAGTGACTTGTATAAAAAGAGCTTACGGTGCTGAGCTTCGGGACTAGATACCTTTAAAAAAGAACACTTCTCCTCTGATGTTTGCCACAGCATCAAATCCTCCCTCACAGCGAGCCTGGGCGTCTGGGTCAGGCCTGAGAAAGAACAGTGAAAGGATACTTTGTCACCTTAAAACCAAAGCAGATGGGCAATATGATGATGTTGGTATTATGATAAATAATCAGCCACTTCATTAAAACCATCAGCTCCACTGACCGTATAGGAGCACTTTGTAGTTCTACAGTTACAGACTGTAGTCCATCTGTTTCTCTGATACTTTGTTAGCCCCCTTTTACCCTGTTCTTCAGTGGCCAGGACCCCCATGAACCATTACAGAGCAGGTACTATTTGGGTGGTGGATCATTCTCAGCACTGCAGTAACACTGACGTGGTGGTGGTGTGTTAGTGTGTGTTGCGCTGGTCTGAGTGGATCAGACACAGCAGTGCTGCTGGAGTTTTTAAACACCTCAGTGTCGCTGCTGGACTGAGAATAGTCCACCAGCCAAAAACATCCAGCCAACAGTGTCCTGTGGGCAGCGTCCTGTGACCACTGATGAAGGACTAGAGGACGACCAACACAAACTGTGCAGCAGCAGATGAGCTATCGTCTCTGACTTTACATCTACAAGGTGGACTGACAAGGCAGGAGTGTCTAATAGAGTGGACAGTGAGTGGACACAGTGTTTAAAAACTCCAGCAGCACTGCTGTGCAGAGGTCCCTCTCACCTCAGTTCTAGTCTGCTTACTGCACACCTGAATGTTGTTTTGTAATATAATTCTCTATTTATAGCCTGTGTGTTCCCATGTTTTTGCAAAGTCTTGTTAGAGAGTTTCTCTGTCAATTCTGAGCCTTCTCGTTTCTTGTTATGCCCTGTCGGATTTTCATCCTTGCCTGTGTTTTTTGTTTTTTGAAAGTTTTGGACAGAATCTCAGATTTGGTTGCATTGAACTTCAGATTTTTCCCTTTTTATCTTTGACCTACGGCCTTTGCAGTTACCCAGTATGAAAATATAAATTGCTCGCTTCTCATCTTCGGCGTTACACACTGACAGACTCTGCACGAGTTCAAATAAACAAACATTTGCTCATCGCTGCCATCAATGATTACATGTATTTGCCTCAGCGCAACAACTGAAACTACCCAATTTACATTCTGTTACAGTGTAAACACGTCATTGTCAAAGTTAACAACTGTGGAAAATAATCACGATCAGCTGAAATTATATCTATCAGGTGTTAATGTAATAATTGTGATATGATGACCATATAATCAGCTTACACTGGACAACTGCAATTGCAGGAATAAAGAGTAAACAATGACAACCATGTGTACAGTAACTACATGATAACACGGTAACAAGCAGCTGATTAGACGCCTTTGTATTATTATATTCATAATTTTTGACCAATTGTTTAAAGTACCTCCAAAAGTTAATTTTGGTACTGTAATCATTTGAAAGCCTTTTTCAATGTGGTGGTGTTTTGCCGATGCATTTTGTCAGTTTCCTCACTGCATATCATGTTATGTGAGAGTAGTATCATGATGTTATGTTTTTGCCATATCGTCCAGCCTCAGTGCTTTATGTATGGTGCAATGCTTGTCAGTCCTGGGTTTGTTGACATTTTTATATTTTCTGATGAGTAACTGAATCTTGTGTGTTCAATTAAGGAAAACCCAGAATAGGTTTCAGTGGTATGGAAATGCTAAGGACTTATAAACAGCACTCACGGTGCAGTCACTCTCGGTGGAGGAGTTTTGGGCCGCTCAGGCCGGCGGGTTGTGGGCCGACCAACAGGGGGAGTTGTTTCTCTGTTCACTTTGATCCCTGCAGTCAATGGTTACAAAAACAACAACAAAAAAATTAAATTGAGCTAAAAGCCATTTTGACATGCGTCTTAAATGATAGTGAACGGTTTAAAGGGCCTGGATCACGTAAAATATTGTTTAAAACTCTTTTAGCCTCTTAAAATCTCAGTAACTACATGGACTTCAGTGCAAACTGGTTGAGCTATTCATAGATTATAGACGTGTGTCATAAAACTTTGGACCTGCCATTGGCCCCCGACCATTTAAGGGGTGTAGTAATTTAAACATTTAAAGCAAATTGTTCACTCCCCATGATCCAAACAATAAGAACAGAGCTCATTTACATACATCAGTCTTAAAGGTACAGAAATATAAACAGCCTGTTTAATTCTAAGGGATAAAGAGAAGGTGGAAAATGTTCATGTAAAAATAATGTACCTTTTTTGTACATAAGCCCAACATCATAAATTGGGAAAAGCAAATATAAGAAAAGTATACTGTAGTAGTATATGGGCCTTTTAAAAGAATATTAGCCCTGAAAATGCCATTGTGGGCTGCAGTGAATGAGTACATTCGATACAAGCAAATAAATATTAATCAGAATCATCTTATTTGCAGAATGCTTTAGCTGTATGCACTGTGAGCCTCATTATAATACAGGGAAGTCAAACTGGAGACCTCCGGGCCAAAGTGCTACAGGGATTAGCATTTACCCTCATCTAATGCTCTGAGTTCAGCTGAAGGCCTTGCTGATTAGCTGAGGGGCTGAATCAGGTGTGTTTAATGAGGCGGTGAGCTGAAGTGTTTTGGCCCGCAAGGACTGGAGCCTGACACGTGTTATAACATGACTGCAGTATCTCTATAGCAACCCTGCTCCTGATAATCTACCTTCCTGAGTTCACTACCAGCCCTGATCTGATCCAGATCATTAACCCATTTAATCAGCTGGCCCAGGTGTGTTAGATTCAGGCTGGAGGTAGGTAGATCTATACAAACAGAGTTGCTCTATAGCCTTGGTCAGGTTGCTAAAGCTCTCTTACCATACAAGGTCTGGATGGCTAGAAGGTCATCCATGGGAAGCTTATAGGTTCGCTCATCTCCTACAGAGCCACTGTAGTATGGCTGCATGATGGAGGGATGCGAGGAGGAGTGGGAGAGGCCCAGGGCGTGGCCGAACTCATGCACTGCCACAGTGAACAGGTCCGTGCCTGCACTGCCTTCGTTGTCTCCGTAGGTCCAAGTCTCGTCATCGTCGAAATGGGTGTCCCCAGAAATGTCGGCCTCCCCGGGGAAGAAGGCGTGAGCTAGCGTGCCTCCCTTACCGTCAAACGGGTAGCCGTCGTCATGGATAGAGGGGGCGAAACTGATTTTAATGTCAGCCTGATTGGCCTGGCCAACTTGATTGAACTGGAGGTTGGTGTTGTCGCTCCAGACTTTAAGGGCTTGGTACATTAGTTTATTCACCAGACTGGGCTCGAGGGTGGAGTGTAGCTTGGGGTAATTCAGGACACTGTAGAGAGAAGAGAAGGAGGGAAAGAAGGGAGGCAGAGAGATGTTAAGTATACAGTGAGGGGAAACTAGTATTCAGACAATACTAGTTCAACCAGTGCATATATATTCACTTCATAATTACATAATGTCTTTTGACTTTGCACTTACATGTATAACCAAAAAAATCATGTCTTTGAAAAAAAGCATTCAGACACCTCAATTAAAAAACATTAGTTCAACAAAGCTGTTGTTGGCAGTTACAGCTTCAAGACGTCTACGATAAGCAGTAATGAGCTTTTTGCAGCATTGTGGTTCAATTTTGACCAGTTCCATTCGGCAGATCATCTTCAAGTCCCCAAGGTTACCAGAGTCCATCTGATGGACTCCTGGACTTTTAAAGGGATGCAAGTCGGGAGACTGGCGGCTGTAGAAGCACTTTCACTATCTTTTTTTTTTGAACGTCTTGAGTTATTTGGCCGTGCGTTTGGAGCCACTGTTATGTTACAACATCCCTCTTCTCTCCAGATTCAGTTTCTTCCCTGCTGAAAACAACCCACAGAAACCATTATGTATTTCTGTTGGTTCCTGATGGTAATGTGTTTTGGCTTTTTTAATGGGTTGATATCACAGTGTAAAGGATCCTAATGGTTTAACAAGTGACCAATGGTGACCAAACTAGTGGTCTCTTTTAGAAACCATTAAACCAATTCCCATTAGAAAGCAAAACCTTTAGGTTTCAGTCCTAACCATTTCTAATGGTCCTTTTTCAACAGGGTTGAGAGATTAAATGAAGAGTTCACTTTCAAAAAACGACAAACTCCATCCTTTAAAATTGAGCTGACTGTGGTGAGTTATTCTGACACACAGCACGTCCTAAACCCTAAATACGTTTAGTCACTAAAGCCGTTATTGTTCATTGTCACGGCATCGCAAGTTCATGTTTTACAGCACAAGCGGTCGAACACCAACGCTGTTCTCCAGCAGAACCCGATAAATCCGTTCAGCCAATCAGCACGCAGTATTCAGGTCAGATGACGCAACACTGCTATCAACTGTTTTACGCAGTGTTAGTACACCCTTAAAGTAGCTGAGGCTCTGGCCTCCGGAGTTGACAACCATCTACACTGCGAAAAATATCTCGTCTAATATCTAATATTTCTCATTTGGAGATTGTTGTAAAGATATTACAAGACTATTTGACTTTCTTCTAGATATTCTTTACTTAAGCAAATCTATTAAGTGACATTATCTCACTATATTGGCAGATCATTTTGCCTGTTTTAATATAGAGATATTTGGTAATGATGTAATGAGATTACTTTTTCCAGGAAATAAGAGGATCCATGGAGCTTTCTATACTAACATTACCTCCAGCATTATGTACAGTCTGCTGAGGCTGTGCAGCACTCTGTTCTGGCTGAAAAAACAAAGTCTGCTTTGGAAGTGTAGTGACAAACATTTGCTTTCCTTCCTTTTTCGTGTTTTTCTGCTGCACTTGGATCACTTTATTTGATTTCCCCTCTCAAAATCCAGAAAATGACACCAAAGAAAGTCTTTTCCATAATGTAGATGATCTCTTATTTACCCTGTTCATATTAGTCCATCTTTACGCACTTGTGTCATCACGTAACAACATGGAATAGTCCATTATAACCCTGACTGGGGGTGGGGCTGCATCGAAATCACTGCAAATACACCAATTTTAAAAATGCATCTATATTTTAGAATGGTTTATTTAAGATCAGCATCTACTGTATGTCTAATTTGTATTTTCATGGGGGCCCTGTGTGGCAAAAATCACCCCTGCTTTCCACTTGCATATCACTGATTTAAGGTCTTTGCTATGGCTCTGTGGCTTTTTCCATTCAAGTGCTGTTTAATAATGTTGTCCATGAGAGCTTTAGGAAGCTCCTTTACCTTCACCATGATTGCTTCTTGTTGCATAAAGTGTTCCCAACCAATAGCAACATCTTTTTGCAACATTAATATCTAGAACTTATTTAATTTTGAATTTTTAGCCTTTACATATATACATGTACTATATATAGCATCTCAATACTTTTCATCCTACAAACATTTCTTTGTTTATGCTTCTTCATTCGTATTTGTAAGTACAAAGTCAAATAACTGTATGTGTGTAAATTTGAAGTGAACATATATATATAGTGGAAGTTTATTAACTCCTTAAAATCCCAGGCTTATTACTAAGGCCCAGTCCCATTTCTTATTTTTACGCCTACCCCTTGTTTTTAAGTGTCTCCTTGCCCCTTGGAACTGAGTTATAAGGGGTAGTGGTTGAAATCTTCCCTCTGAAATGGGACCCTCAAATAAAAAGAGCATCACTTCATTAACAGCTACTAGCGCTGCTCTGTAGGCGACCCTGCCAGTCTGCAGTGATAGCAGAGGAGGGTAAAGTTCAGCTCCTCACTGCTGAACACTGCTGTGACATTTAGGGAATCATATGCTTTCAAGAGGGGGGGCAATTACTTATTATCGCCCACCCCTAATTCTTCAGTGATATGAAGCTGAAGCCAGATATTCACCAGCTTCTTGTTCGAATTTTCCCGTTCCACCTTAAATAGAGCAGCAGTTCTGACAAGTGAGGCGCGAGAATGTAATCATTTAAGGTGGAACTGGAAATTTAGCTAGCTAGCTACCGAGACATCAACATACTGCTAGTGTTGGTTATACGGTGGTTATCCTAATTTTTAACGGAGAAAATACTCGCTTGTGCTCCATCTTGCCGTTTTTTTTTCTCACAACACTCTGTTTGGAGTGAGTCTCTGAAAAACCTCTGTTTGGAGGGTCATGTAGCCCTAACACTTCATCCTACCCCTCTATCTCTGGATACCCTACGCCTAGACATGAACGTGCAAAATAGAGAGGTAAGGACAAAGTGAGAGGGGCGAGGGGTGAAATGGGACTGGGCCTTAGTAACAATTAATCAGTAACAACAGAACTTTAATGTAGACTGAGCTGTTCTTAGGTCACATAATTGTGTAATTAACCTTTGGGCCCTTGCCATTTAAGGGGTTAAATAACAAAAACAACAGTGTCTCTCACTGCAGGATATTAGTGTAATGTGTTTAATACTTCAGTTCTAAAGATGATTTGCTGATTGTGATTGTGTGTGAGAGAGAGAGAGAGAGAGAGAGAGAGAGAGAGAGAGAGAGCACTGCGTCTGAGTGAGAACTGTTCACCAGACTGTCTGTATGCGAACACACAAACCTCCATGTCAGGCTACTTTTGCCCCAGCGGAGCCCAGAGAGAGCGTATCGCTTCTTCCTCTTTCTCAGCATGTCCTCCGTGCCTATGATGTCCGGCAGTGAGCATCTTGGTGTTGACATCAGTTTCAGCGTGTCCGCGTCTAGAGAGAGAAAGCACAGACGGAAGAGCGTGGATCAATATATGGATTCCAGAAATGGACACTCCTAATGCAGTGCACCCAGGGCGTGATAAAAGCGAGGCACCAGACGAAAAAGGATCATCAATGAAGCATCTTTACCAGTAATGCAGTTTGACTAAGGCTTTATACAGACTGTGTCCAGAAATCCTGCCCTGGACTGCAACTAAACAATCTGACACCATGAAACTGACAAAGTGCTTTAAACCCTCATAGTTTTAAATAAACATCCTTTCAGTGAATATTTTATATTGCCTGTCTTGTTATGTTTTTAAATGCATCTAAGTTTCTAAATGCATCAAATGTTACTGTCTTACAAAGCATTATTCATGAAATGGTAATGAATAAGCCGTCTGATGTGTGAGACATTGTTTTACTATAGTTTGAGAAGACTTTTTCATTAAAATCTGTTCATAGTGGAGGGATACATGCAGGATGTTGTGAGGTAAAATAGTCCCCAAAGGAAACTTATTATTTCAGATTTTCCACAGTTTTACCATCATCAACATTCCATATAAACTCAGAGGACTCGTGTAGGTTCACTGGTGGTTCTGGATAGTAAATAAAATGTCTATATCTGTGTTGTAGTCATGGCGACCCCTGGTTCCTATCACCACCACTGTAAAGACATCTGATCCATTTCACACCAAACCGCTCTGAATCACTCTGCAAATAGGTCTCAACAAATGAAATTTGTAAAATCAATAAAACAGGCAGTTAATGTTATTTATCACATTATGTAATAATCTGTAGCGCAGCATTATAACCATGAGCCTCATCGGTTTGACAGAGTTCACAATTTGGTATCCCTTTTGTCCATCAAGATTCTCTCAGCGTGCATTACACATCAGACAACCACTGGGAGCCCCTCCCACTAAAGAAATCCTGACTGCTAGCATAGCCACTGATGTAGAGGCTAATAAATAGAGTAAGCTGTACGGTGCATTAGCCAGCTAGTAGGAAAACTAAAAAAAAAACATAGCCCACGTATCCACCCCAAAGCACCTTCATGTACCTTCCCACCTTCAAGGTACATCATCAGAACGGGTTTTTCTAATCTTTAAACCTGAAAATCTTGCTCCAGAGATCACTGTGGTACCACTTTAGGAGGCGTTTACAACAGATGGAGGAACTATTCCAGTTTTCATTAAAACAACCCATCAGTAAATGTGGAGCATCTCCACAGGTCAGGGGTCGCAACCCAAACGTTAAGAAGAGCCCTTTTGTCCTTTCAACAAAAATCAAACCACCTTGGGAGCCACAACATTTAATGTCCATTTTACCATCATAGCTGTAAATGCGTCTCAGTATGTGCTGATGTACTAGTGTAGGATAAAAATATAAACGAAAACACAGACTTACTCTGCTCCGCTCTAAACTTATAGCTATAGCCGCTTTTCTCGCGTCTCTGGTAGGAAACTTTTCCGCAAAAGTACAACAGTTTCTTGTAAAATTGTTCCATTTTTACAAGGCTGACTTCAGCTTCTTATTCGCCAGCTTCTTGTTAAAATTTTCTTTTTCCACCTTAAATGGTACCTGAGGCGCTAGAATGTAACTGCTGCTGCACCATTTAAGGTGGAACGGGAGAATTCGAACAAGAAGCTGGTGAATGAGAAACTGACTTCAGCTTTTTAGTGTTTGTCAGTTTCTCATTGCAGATTAAACGTATCAGGAAACCAGCTGGAGTGATTATAAACATAAATAAGCTCATTCGTCTCCAAATTATAGATGTTCATCTTAAGTCTCTCTCTTTGCCGTTTCGTTAGCTTCGAGCTAGGCGAGATTGTTGTCTGCATTGCTATAACCAGCAGTCTGAGCTGACCTTCAGGGTCAAAAGTTAGTAAATTAGCAGTTATACGTTAACTCCAGCGTTTAAGACCATTTATTGTTAAACTGTGTTGAACGATCAGCAGAGCTTTATTTTACTGTAAAGGAGGATTATTTTATTTTTACCTACAAATCTGATTCTGCTGTGGAGCCGCAACAGGGCAATAAAATGTTGCCGACCCCTGCCATAGACTATCCTTAGTAAACATATCAGAATTTGGTACTTAAGCTGTGGGAATGCTCAGTCATCAGATAACATAAAGAATGCAAATGTGTAATGTTTGATCAAGAGATACAAATACAAAAGTAGTGTATAAAGGGATTAACTTACCGAGTTTCCCTGTTTCCCTTATTCCTGCGAATCTCTGCATCTGCCTGATGGCTTTCTCGATTCCTTCTTTGGTCTGCAGTTTTCCCGCATGTGGGTCAGGTGGAGAGAGGTACCCATACCTGCTTAGCCAATCCTGACACAGGAACAGTTGGGACTTTCTTACAAGCCAGTTAAAAATATATCATCACTGTGGTGCAAAAACATCGTACATCCGTTTATGTCACTTTTCTTTTTTTGCGTAATTTGAAAAGTCCAGTTTCCCTTTGCATTGTGATGAGCAGACCAACACAGACCAAAATTACTTACAAAGAAATCTTTTTACATTAACTTAGATTATTATTATTATTATTATTATTATTATTATATTTTTTCTCTTCTCTTGTGAAGTTGCTATTTGAAAATATGACAACCCTGAAGCCAGATGTGGTTGCTGGAACCCAGCCTGTTTACGAACACAGGAGGGTCACATCTCAACCAAATTTAAACATCTGACAGACGTTTGTGTCGTTCAGATGAACAGCCTGACCATCTGTCTTATGGGTGGACCTTAGCCCATGAGTGAAAAACTCCAGTCCTGGAGGGCCAGAGTCCTGATTCAACACTATGTTCAACTCTGCAGCTCGTTAGTTAGTTAGCAAGGAAATCACCAAACTGTGCTGGACTCTGGGCCTCAGTTCACCACCTCGCCTTAGTCCAGGCATGTCAAACTGGTGACTTTCCGGGCCAAACTGCTGCAGAGATTAGCGTTTACCCTCATCTAACGTCCTGAATTCAGATCAGAAGGCCTTGCTGATTAGCTGATGAGCTGTGTGTTTAAAAGTCTGCAGTGTTTCGGCCCACGAGGACTGGAGCCTGACACAGGTGCCTTAGCCCAATTCTAGAAAAGGTACACAGGATTCAATGTTCTCACTGCCGCTGTCATTTCCAAGGGATTCATCTTGGCAACTTCTATGTAAAGACGTCCAGTCTCAGCTGGAAGGCCAAGTGTTGTACTCTCCATCCCCAAGCCCAAAGGGGCCTGACAAAATACTTCAGGCCGTTTCAGGTTCGGGACGGTTTACCTTGTACAGCAACCTGCCTGTGCATATTTCTACCGAGTGTTGTAGTACTCGATTCCCGACTCGGTCTTGATAGTGGAAATTATGGGTCACCATCTTGTCTCGGTCTCGACATCATTTGGACTCTGTCTTGGGGTAAGGCGGGCTTGATCTTGACTCGGTCTCAGGACAAGGTGGACTCAGCCTTGTCTTGGTCTCAGGGAGTGATGCTCGGTTTTGACTCAGACTCAACCACTGCAAAGTCTTGGTCTTGACTTGGGCTTAAGTTTCAACAAAGGCTACTTTCACCAGTCACTGGAAATGACTGTGACTGCAGCTACGTGCAACCTGGTGTGATGGTGTCCTGTGATATGGTTCCAACAGGAACTGGTGGATAAATGCTGTTCCAAAGCCACAATGAAAGCTTACGGAAGCTGTTACTGTAGCTTATAATGGAAATGCTTGTAAATGATTAATAATGAATCTGAGAATTATAAGGGTTCACTGGTGCTTATGGCTACTTGGCCAACAGGTCCACAAACTTAAAACCCAGGCAAACATGATATCGTACCCTCAGTGGACCCTCAGTGTACCAAGCTCTTCTTTTCACTTCCAACTCTCTCCAAAGACAATGCAGAGCATGAGTGATCAATAAGAAAGAAAATCCCATTTAGATTCTTAATTTTAACCTTTGGTTTCTGGCTTCTCGCTGCACTCCAGACTTCACATGCATGTGTTCAGTTCTATCAGCAGCACCTGATTTAGTTCAGTGAAGCACTGATTAGATAAAGCAGGTGTTGGATGGGAACTGTAAATACTGGACTGGAGATCTGGAAATGGTTAAAGGTGCAGTGTGTAAGATTAGTGGCACCCCTCCCTCACCCCTCCCTTTCCAAGTGCGTAGTAGAACCTACGATGGCCATCAGGTTTTCGGCCATTACCTGTCCCAATTTTGTTTTGCTTCTTCATGTTTTCGCTTCTTTGACAATGAGGATTCATCTTCCCTCGATTTTGCTCGTGTTAAATAATATGTTTGATCCTCCGTTTGTCAAAATTTCTCAAACTTCTCATGACACAAAATAACGGTTTCTTCTTTCTATGTCTTTCAGCAGGAGCTACAGCGCCACCAAATTCAAGCTGCCACTTCAGTGTAAAAACATGAAAGGCGCCCTCTAGAGCCAGTGTTTGGTGTGTCCGTTCTGGGCTATTGTAGAAACATGGCAGCGCAACATGGTGGTTTTTGTTGGAAGAGGAGCCGCTCCTTGTGTAGATATAAAGGGCTCGTTCTAAGCTAACGAAAACACAGCGATTCAAATTTACAGGTGATTATATAATAATGATAATATGGTTTTGTGTTCTATGTTCAATTTCTGCTTAACGATCCCTCTAAATCTTACACACTGCACCTTTAAGATTATACTACGCATTGATCTGTTTGTATTTATTCTAATATTAGAGTTTTTGCAAACTGCCCTGATCTCACACATACACACAAACCCAAACACACACACATATACAAACACATACACACACACATATGTATAGGGAAGCATTTAAATCAGAAGCATCTCCGAAAAACATCTATAATTATTGTATGGAAGACTTCAAAGAGGAGTACTCACCACACCCCGGGAGTACTGGTCAGGCATCGGTGCAAGAGTGACCGGAGAAGCAAACATGACCACAGTAGCCGTCAGATAAACCAAACCAGACCCAGCGTCCATCACTGTGCATGTGTGAACGCACTAAGATGAGGAAAACAGCAGCGCACACTAATATCCCCCCCTGACCACCCACTCAGCTCCACACTGACCGCACTTTTAGCTCCACACTCACCACCCCCTCTGCTGCAGACACCAGAGCGCACTGCGATGACCAAAGTTTTAACACCCACACAAAAGGCTTTACAGTGTTTCAAAAGGTAGAGAAAGGAAAATTGTTTAAAGTTGATGTGCTTCTTTAAATCCTCTGCTGGGTTTGTGTTATTAATCACTGCCTCTCCTCAGCGGACCCTCAGCGGACCCTCAGCGCGCCGTGCGCTTCTTCTTCCTTCCAACTCTCTCCAGAGACGACACGGAGCACAAACGATCGATCAGAAAGAAAACCTCTCCCTCTCTCTCTCTCTCTCTGTGTGTGTGTAGTGTGTGTGTGTATGTCTCTCTCCACCTCTCCGGTCTCTTTTCCTCGCTCTCTCTCTCTCTCTCTCTCTCTGCGAGTGTGAGTCGTCATTTTTTAGAAACATGAGGCTTCAGGATTTCTCTCTGTTGGCTTTTAAGATCCATTACACTCTTAAAAAAGATGGTTCTTCAAGGGTTCTTCAGTAAACACAATGGCTCTATATAGAACCATGAACATTCAAAGAGCCATTTAAGCACTATCACTCTGCATGGTGAAACTGTCTTCAGACTGATGGAGAATGTGTTGTATATGGTTCTATATAGCACTAAAAAGGGTTCTTCTGTTGTTTATAACAATAGAAAAATGCTTTTTTAAAAAGGTTCTAATAGAACCATTACCTTTACTAAAGAACCCTTGAAGAACCATCTTTTTAAAATGATCTTAAGTTAATATTTAGAGAAAATGTAATTTTAAGATATTATGTCAATATTTCAAAAATGTCATTATTTCAAAATTTAAGTTGAGATATTACATTATTATTATATTTAATTACATTATTATATTTAATGATCATAAGTCACTATTCCAAGATATTAAGTCAATGCTTCAAGATGTTATGTGAATATTCTGTGAAAAAAAAATCATAATTCCAAGATATTAAGTCAATATTTTAAGTAATTATTTCAGATGCTATGTCAATATTTCATACAATAAGTCATTATTTTAATATATTAGGTCAATATTTTGAGAAAATCAGTCATTATTTTCAGCCACTAAGTCAATATTTTGACATATTGCTGCCAGAAGCAGGTGATTTTCTCTCCTCTAACTGGAGGGAATGGGCTCTATGGGAACAGGTGTATTAGGTACTGCAGTGTTACTGTGGACTTACTGGCCACTTTATCACCCTCATTCTTACTGTATTTAATATGTCTGACACAATCAGTAGCCTTCCAGCTCATTAATTCACTTTCAGTATTGGTCATGCGCTTATTCTGTGGATTTTTTTTCCAGAATGGTTCAAGTTTCTTTGTGTGTAATGTTCCCTGAAAACTGGTCCTGTTTTTAACCACACCGTCCAGTGTCACCCGGAGGAGGACGGGTTCTGCTTTTTGACTTGTTGTTCCTCTTGATGGTTCTTCTTTAAGCTCTCAGAGACTTTTAGCTGCCTGTAATTTCCCTCGGTGACGAAGCGCTATGCAAACTGGAAAAGTGCATTTCCTAAAGAAAAGGAGGTGGTTGTTAGGTGTTGCTATGCAGTTGCTTTGGTATCCCAGGTGGTTGCTAGGGTGTTCAATGGTGTCCCAGATGGTTGCTGGGGTGTTGCTACGCAGTAGCTATGGTATCCCAGCTGGTTACTTGGGTGTTGCTATGCAGCTGCTATGGTATTCCAGCTGGTTGCTAGGGTGTTGCTATGCAGCTGCTATGGAATCCCAGGTGGTTGCTGGGGTGTTGCAATGGTATCCCACATGGTTGCTAGGGCGTTGCTAGGCAGCTGCTAAAGGACTGCTAGGCGATTACTGGTGGTTGCCATGGTAAGAGGGTGTTAATAAGCTTTTTCTATCTTTATAATATATGCACAAACTTTTTCACCCCATTCATTCCTTTTGGAAAAAAAAAATCATCATGTAATAAGGACTCTACGAAAACCGTACATCACACCATTCCCATTCCCATTCCCATCCATTTATACCAAACATTCCAGAGTTGGAACAGTGTTGATATCGTGAAAACTGAAGGACGAGTTAACGGACAAAAACAAATTATTTTTTATTTTGAAATAAAAACAAAACAAACAAACAAACAAAAAACAACACAGTGATTGTGCAGCTGAAGCCTGTTGCCAGGCAGTGGCTAAGGTGTTGTTAAGCAGTTGCTATGGCATGAGGGTTGTGTACTGAATGGTTGTTAGGGGGTTGCCAAGTGGTTGCTAGTTGTTGTTATAAATGAATGGGACACTATGGGAGGAATGAGGGATGAAAAAACGCCGCATCGAGGAGTGCAAGTCAGAGCGGCTGTGAATTAGAGCCTGGAGACCTGCCCTGAGTGAGTACATGCAGTTTGGTGGCTGTCAGGCGAAAGAAATAAAAGGCCTTGGGTTGGGGAGAAATGAATGGGACTGTAAGGGAGAAACAAAGGATAACAATCATGATAACTAATAATAATAATAATAATAAAAATAATAATAACAACATAATAATAACAATATAACTAATAAAATTAAAACTCTAATCACTGTTCTACTGAATGATGATCTGAATCGCCTAACATTTCCCACAGGTTGTCACTGGTTGTCTAAACTTAGATTGCGTGCTTTAATTCCAATTCTAAATGTAGGCCCGTGATGAAGTAAACTAAAGGGTGTTATTTCCTGTGTACACTATGTTTAGGTTCAGTGATTATTTTTTCCTACTAGTAGCGTGAATAGTTGCTCATATGCAGACCTTAAATGGCTGATCAAGTAGTGTGCTAGTGTAAGGCACTTACACTTAGTGGGGCATGATGATTGGTCCAGCATCAAAGGGTGACCCTAGCCAATCATCATGCCCCACTAAACCCCACTACTATTTGTATATGCTTCTGTGGCAGCAGGCAGCAGAAACAAAGTGAAACAAAGCTTTGTGGATGCTGCCTCTGCTTGCCAGACATGCCTGATATAAAATTAAAATTTGAATATAAATATAATATAAAATCTATAAAATATACATGTTCTAAAAGACCAGGGTTTGCATGCATCACTCTGTATTAGCTGCATGTTAGGGTTGCGCTGTATGTTGTGGGCAGATTTCCTAAATGTGTGGACATTTGGTGATTTGTGAGTTATCAACATTAGTGACTTATTTGATGTGTCATATTTATATTTTCAACAGTTCAACTGTCTAACCATGTATGCTGATTAACTAAACTATCAAAAAAGGTTAAATTTAGTTATAAAATTCTAAATAAAATAGTTTATGTTTGAAAACTTAAAACAAAAACCATGTTGCAAAAAATCACAACTTTAAAAGTGCTCAGCTCACTGAAAAACTTTTATCTGCAAGTTCTTACTTCCTCAGATGTCAGGAGCACAACAAAAAAGGACTTTTATTTTGACGTGCTTTTACGAAAGAAGGGGCCAGAGTACGGCATCATAAAGAAGACCCCAACGACTACAAGAGGTGTAAAGTATGTAGAAAAATGGCAATTTTGTGTATTGCTGATGACTGAATGTTAATGGGGTTCTAACAGCTTCTCAGCATCTCCGTCCAGATTGACTGATTCTTGTTTTCTGATCGAAAGCCAAAAAGAAAATAAAAAAACGATATAATGTTAATGTTTCATCTTTTATCTTTTTCTCCTTATCTTCTCTTGTTTAAGACACGATTAACTAGTCACTTTCCTCCCGCCTTTCCAGCGTCTTATTAGACAACATAATGGTAAGTAACAGTAATTATCTAAAAGTTGTTAGGGGGGCCCCTGCTGGCAACAGGGCCTTAAGCAGCTGCTTATGTCGCTTAATAGGTAGAGCCAGCTGTACTCAAGTTATACACATATGACTGCACACATTGAATTTATTTGAAGGTACTAAAAACCACAGTGCTGTTCAGGGAATTGTCTTTGCCCATCATGTTGCAGACTATGAGAATTATTTATTGGAACAAATATTAATATTAATTATTAATTATATTATATTAATTATATTAATTATTTATTGGAACAAATATTAATAATGAAATTGTTTAAAGAACATTTGTGTATTTTATCACATTTATTGTGTCACACGTTACAGTGATATTAACACGATTAGTGGCACTCGGGCCAAATGCTTCATCTGCCGACTCGCCTCCTTCAGTGGTGTGACAGTCTCTAAAGTGAGATTTTAAAGACTATGAAAACTCCCTTCTGATGATGGATTTTGAAGGTACATTTAAAAACTACAACTGCCCCGGGGGAATGCTGGTTATTGTAGTGAGAGAACACTGATGATCAGCGGTGAACCATGACTATTAAAGCTATATTATATATGTTATATATATAAAATGAAGCATATTGCAATGTGATATTCATTATAGTGATTATATACTTATATTATATATATTATATACTATACTTATATTATATATATTATATACTATATACTATATTATATTCAGTACTTAAAGCTGCGCTTTTTTGTTAAAATCTGCTAAAACATGTTTGTGCACTGCTGTGAGTCGCCCTGTAAAGCCTGACATAATCATTCAAAAGTCAGAGCTGTCAGGTCTGATTTGGCAGGCGTTTTTCAGACCACGTCAGAGGTGTTTATGTAAGAATGTTACACACATAGACTCAAAAAGAAGGTCCAGCTCAATACGGCTAGGTGACCTGAGCAGCGTTGGTGGGGTGCTGGACTAAGTTGCACAAATTTTACATAAAATTATACTTAGTCTTTACTAAGGCCTTAGTTCGCTAGCTTGTTTTAAACTGTTCTGTTAACTAAATTTGGTCGTGACACAAAGCTGTAAGTGGTGTCTTAACTAGTAAAAATTAACTAATGAGTACGTTCCTTTAACATGAGGATAACATGTCCAGAACCGATCAATAAACCTGCTGCCATGGAAACGCAACAGCAGCACAATCTATGTAACAAAATATTCCTGTACACATTTCATGGAGTTACATATTTCCACCAGAGAGGTCGCCAATTCCCCAAATTTGCCAAACTTACAAAGAGCAGCTTTAAAGAACACTGGCCAACTGTAAGCTACATTACAAAGACAGCATAATTAGGCCTGTTTAAAGCCGCAGTGACACTAGAACATCACATTTTGTGTCACCTTAGGTAAGTACGTGACTGGAACTGATCAGGAAGACTGAAAAACTTAATTTTAGTGCTGTTAACAAGCTAAATTCACTGATCATGAACAGTTAAAACACAAAAGCGAACAGATAGTAACAAAATAACAATACAGTCTCCTGACTGACTGTGAATCATCCCGTCTCTAGCTGGGTTTCCATGCAAACATTTTGCAAATGCACATTTATGAAATTTCAGCAGAAAAAATTGCAAAT